TTTCATGTTTGAGTTTTCGTATTATACCATAAAATATAAATTCAGTATTAAAATGAATTAATTGATATTAAAAGCACTTTATTTTTATGTGTTATTAAAAATGTTAAAATCGCGGAATAAATTAATTTAAATTAATTAATAGTCCATTTATTCATTACGTCAGTAATTTAGTTTGATAATGGAAAATTTTATGAATATTTAAAACATGGACAAAAATATAGGGGCTTTAAAGATTATGTCATCACATTGACGTTCGCTGACATCTTGGCCATTATAAATATCAATTAGCCTCTGATGCAAACTATTTCATTTTAAATAACACCATTTGCATCAATTAGCTCATTCCGTACGAAAGCCAGGCGAAATTTAATTAAATATTTAAGCCATTGGCGTGGCAATTGTGCTTATTTGCCCGTCAACGGGGCGTATACGCGCTGAATATATATGCGCTTGTATATTTGTTATTTGGCTTCGATGCATTATTCAATATGTTCGGATCGCACAAGGGAAATGGTGCGAAGAGCGTGAAACACAAACTCGAGACAATCAATTGGCAGGCGGGCAGTACTTTCAATCAATTTCCAAAGCACTTGTAGCATTTAAGATAACCAACTGGCCAAATGTACGAGTGTTTGTTTGTCCCCAAGTGGGTGTGAATATCTGTGTGCGAGTGGCCGTCTGTTTGTATTTACGAGTCGAAAGTCAAATCAGGCCATTTATCAAGTCCTGGGAACCCTTGGTCGGCCAATATTGCCACGCAGGTCAGAAGTTGTTTGTGCTCATTTTTCAAGCGAACTGGCATACAAAAAGTTTCCCACTGCTATCCGCCAGCAAATATATATATATATATATGTATATCATATATTGAACTTCCAGCACTTGTTTTCCCAATTTTCCAAATGCGCATTTCAATTGAGCGTTGCCCGAAAGTTTCTTTTGGACTAAAATAACAAAAAACCATTTACACAAAAATAACATTTCAATGTTTGTGGGGAAGAAAAGAAAAAGTTTTTTTTGAGCTCTAGATTCCAAGAAAAAATCAGCTGAGTTTCGCCATAATAAAGTATGTTAGTAATGAGATGAGTTTGGTAAAAAAAGTGATCAGAACAATATTTGAATTTTTTACGCAGCTTGATTCTTAAAATATTTTAAAAGTTCAAAATGTTTGCACCTCATATATACCTTTTTTTGTTATTTTTTTTCCTTTTGTATTCAGAATTTCGATTTCATTCATTCTTAAACAATTTATTGTCTTTAAGAAATGAGATTTTTGTCCTTAATACGACCACACCCACGCCGCTGAGAGGCCATAATTTGATATGGCAAATTGCCATTCGTGTATACGTATATATTAACGTCTTTATCTTCGGCTGTTCTTGGTCCTTCACTCTCTGCTTTTTGCCGGAATTATTAATGCCACTTTGCCAACTTTGCATAATGAAAAGTTCAACATTGTTATTATCATCAGCGAGTGCTTTCAAATTAAGGCTAAAAATGTCGCATGTCTTGCCAAATTTTTAATACGTATACGTTCTAAGAACGTGTAGAAAAAGTCGCCTCAAAAAAAGTCAGGGAGAATAAAAGGAAGAGCGGCTGTATTTTGTTGACTTGGCCATGGCCTAAGTCACCACCCACCCAAAAAGCCCCCGCTGTCAGCAATTACAGGCCATGTTTTCGGTTCTTTGTTACTGTCTTACTGTTTTCATGTCATATAACAACGTTGTGCAATAAATCAAAAGTTGCCAGCATGAAACGATTGCTTATGCTGCCTATAGTTTGGTTCCCAAACATACACTTAGCCACGTTTAAACCAAATGATTTGTGGCTAATTTATTTATAGCGCCCATATAATGCCGAGGCAACACTTTGCCGAACAAAGTCAACTTATGACAGTGAACAATAAACACCAACAGCAAAGGGAAACACACTATAACTATAAAATATTGTGACGTGGCACTCGACTATGTGAAATGGAGCACAAGGCCAGCGAGTCAAACAATGGCTGACAAAGGAGGCCGAGACCGTCAACAAATAGTGCCAGCCCACAGTTCTCGGATCCCAGTTCTCCATTCTCCATTCTCAGTTCTTAGTTCTCAGTTTTCAGTGCTGTGTTCTCGGATATGGCGCCACAATGTGGGCCTCACACTCCGCCAGTCGTACAGCATTGCCGATGGCTACATGCGAGTATCCATATAAAGATTCCCTGCTATTTTTCCCCTGAGGTTTTCATCTTGCAGACCCACACACAATGCACAAAGTTGCAGTTGCACATGGGGAAAATGCTTGAAAAAAGTTCGGAAAGACAAAAAACGGTGCCAAGTTCAAAACTAATTACTAGAAATGTAACAAAGTTTGTAATGATACTTCCCTATTGGGTCTGCTTACGGATCTTATGAAATTATTGTCATGATTACAATATTTTTATATGATTCCCAATATATTTGAAAACATTAAGATGCCGCTTTTAATTATTTTGACTGTGTCAATTAAATACTTAAGAATTTCTTTTAAATATAAAAAGGTTAATAAAAAGTTTTTGTAAGCTGTTGAATAGCAGACAAATTAAAAATTATTTATAGTAGATGTTGTTTAGTGGTGTAGAGAAAATCCCATAATTTAAAATAATGATTTTCGCCAGTGTGGCGTATCTGAAGTCTTGGCTCGATGTCTAAGATGGCTTCCCACCTGGCTGGCTGGTTGCATTCAATCCATACCTCCCTGAGGAAAAAACACACAAGGCCGGGCAAGAGGACTCCCCTGACATGTTGGTCACATGTCAATCGCTTCGATTTTTTCCCTTTTTCCATGGAAAACATTCCGGCAGAAGTGGATGGAGCAGGATGAAGGTGGCGATGCGACATCCCCGCCAGATTGACATTGCTTGTTCCCTGAATAGATCGATGTGCAGGTGTGAGTGGATTGCATTGTTGTCCTTGCACCTGCTCTGAATTCCCCGCTGTCGTGCGATTTGGAAATGTTCATTGTGCAGATTCGCAATCAAAGTTATCACCATTCGATGAACATATCTCTGACACGGGTTTACCTTCCGGCAATCGAATAGCAACATTTATGGGCACTGCTCAAATGATTGCTATGCCTGGGTTAATATTTGAATGCATACATCATTCTGTGTGCACATTTCACTCGAATCCAGCTCATGTGTCAGCCGAGCTTGGAATCCGTCGCAAACTATGCAAATTAACACGCTTGTCAACGTTTGCACTCAGCTGTTTGAGATACGCTTCAAAGGACTGCAGCACTAATTAATTCTGAGCCAAAGAACTGGATAATGGGTAGCTTACGCTTTGATAGCTCTTTGCTGGTGCTGTGATTCAGGTTTTATTATAATTGGTTGACAAGCTCATAACAAAATCTCTATGCATTCATTTGGGAAATTAGTTTTAGTTTTAATTTGGTTATCTCAACATAGCAGTTGTAAAATGACGGTAATAAAACTAACAAATTAAATCTTAGGCATTTTGAAATACTCCCAGTCTCAGATTGGTATCTAAAATTGGTAATTGAGTTGACTAATGGTTTATTAATTAAGAAAGTAATTTAATAAGAAATTATAAATTAATTAGAACTAAATTCATCTAAACTTAAAATGTGTCAGAAATTAGAAGATTGTTTGTTTGGGTAATTTTCCATTCAACACACCAAAAAAGCTTGGTAATTTTCCAAAGATATGTTTTCTACATTTTGAGTCTGAAACCTTGTACGTTTGCTGTAATAAATGTAACTCATCTGAATACATATTTTTCCGTACTTTGTAAGGAAATTACAAATTTAATGAACATTTTCCATTACACTTTCAGGGCATTGACCACATCGGTGTGTCCCCACTCCGCCGTTTTCCTTGTTCTATTAAGAGCTTGTCGCTTGGCTGGAGGAAAATGCATGCATTTGACGCGTTTGCTTAGCTGATTGCGGTCCTTGTGCCCTGCGGCGTGGAAAGGAGAAGGATCTGGTGGGGCACACCACGCGTACCCATATCTCTTGGCCACACGCACGGCGGAACAGTCCGGGGGACAGACGACATGGCTCAACAAAAAGCGAATTATATTTTCATATTAAACGACGTATGAGTAATCCCTCGCTCAGGGGAGAGAAGGACATGCAGGACATGGAAATGCCATCGTCAGAGGCTCTCCGCCCCCACCACGACACTCTCATTTATTTATAGAGTTTTCTAGAGTCGAGCGCTAATGTCGTTTCCATCGCTTGCAGATTGACAAAAAGCGGAAAAAAACAAATAGAAATCGAGATGTTTGGGAAATCGTTTAAATATTCATGCTAAAGAGAAAAACATTCTAACACTCACTTATTCAATTTATAAAGCACTCAAGCAAGTACTAGGAATAAATATTGAAATGCAAGGATTGCAATTTAATTAAAAATTATAGACCTAAGCTCGGCAGAGAGAAATTCGCCACCGTATTTGTAAGGAAATAAAGATAAGTTAAATTACGATGCTTCCCTTATTTCGTTACAACCTTTTAGAGTTACTACGCCGATAAAATATATATTCAGAATTACTCCATCGAAAGCATTTTATAAATCAAAGGGTCTTAAGTCCTTTTTAAAAATGTAATATCTTAATAATTCAAATGTTAAGTTAAAATTCAAATGAATGAAAACCCTAACTAAATTCGAACTATAAATATTAAATTAAATCGTTCTTTGTTCAATGGGAAATCGATGATTTATTAAATAATAATAAATGCACTCAAGCCTCTACTAAAATTCAATAAAAAACATGCACTTCAATTCAGCATTCCTCAATTAAGCTCAAGTGTGCAAAATTGTATCTGAGTGGTGAACATGAACTGGATTTTGAAAGGAAATGTAGGGATATGCACGAACGTATGGCTTTATTTTGGTGAGTAGGCAGCACACAGACAATGCAAGGCACTTAGTTAAAGGAGAGTGTGTGGTATTTAAACTTTAATTGGGTACTTATGAGGAAATGCGGAATGTGGATGTGGGAGGACACTTACGTAAAACGGCACAAGGACCTGCTACCTGCAGCTAATTAGCCCAGGCGGACAAAAGCAATGCACGATGTTTGGACAGTCGATGATTCAGGACTCAGGACACTGATTGGCATGCATTTTGGCTTACAGACACCAATGCAAACACAAACACAGGCACAGACACAGGCACGAATACAGGCGACATAATGGTGTGCGTGTTTGTGTGCGGACTCAAGCACACAAGCACAAATGGCGGTTCGCGTAGACAAACATGACGTAAACCCAAAAAAGTATGCTACAAACTTGGTTCGCCTTTCGCTTACGATTTGGACTCTTATTATGGCTGTTCATTGGTGTCCTTTCTTATAAGCTTTTTGGTATATTTATTTTTGATTACAATTTCGCTGGCCGTCGATTCCCTTCCTTTCTCTGCAATGGAAACATCAAAGGACAAACATTTTAATTGGCGTCAAACGTTTGTACGAGGGCGTAAGCGCCGTAGGCGTGTCACTCCGACTCGGCGGCGACATCAAGGACATTAAGCCAAGTCAACTAACAACACTAACAACAAAGTGTGTCACATAAAACAAAGAAATAATGGTTCAATAATAATCAAATATAGTAATAAACTTCACGGGATTACACAACACTGCTGCTTTGCCCATTGACTTGGCTAAATTCAAGCGAAAACAACACTAACACTTTCTAGCATTGGCTATAATATTGAGGAATTTGTTGTTGGTACCACTTTAAACGCTCTTCACTCGCCCAGTGTCCTTTCGATCCGAACTCGCGACTATAGTGCACGAAAGCCGAGGACGGACTGAAGGAACTCCGCCAAAGGACTCGCTGTTCGAGCCCCCTTTCGGTTTCATTCGGCTTTTCGAGTGAGTTCCGTTTGGATTCGGCTATTTGAGTGCGTTTCGGTATTAACATGACTGCCTTTATGGATGAATTGTTGCTTTGCCTTCCTGTCGTTTGCCGCTTGCATTTTTTTTCGCGCTTACTTGGCTTTCCGCTTATTTTTTTATCCTTTTTGGATTTTCAGTTTTTGTGCGACGTGATTCATTTCCGGTTTCGTACGGAAAGGACTTAAGGTGAGTCGGATGCCACAAAAAATCATTGAAATGCCTACAGGGAAATTTTATTTATATAGGAACAATTATACAATTGTTATAATTATAGGTAGGGACATTTAACCATGTTTTAACAAATTAATAAATTAAGAATCTAAATTGTTTATTTATAACTAACTAAACTCTTGGGGATATATTTTATTTACCGCCGAGAAATAATATAAAAAAAACGTTAAGTAAACATATTAATATTCAACATCTTTCAAAAATATATTGTATGCTCATTATTTTATTTTGTGTACTTTTGGTATTATTAAATTTTATAAAATTGGGCCAAAAATCATAAAATTTGCATGCCAATTTCACGCCTTGAATACGGGGAACCAGGAGGGGTTTTTTTGGGGGGGGGCTTAAGCCCTTGGGCATTGGCTGCAAATGAGTGGCTTGTTTATGAGTGGGACGCAGCTAAGCGAGCATCAAATGGCCAGAGGTGTCTGCCTTTGGGAGTGTGTGTGTCTGTTGTGTCTGCCTGTCCGTGAGTGTGCACACATTGAAAGCGAAAACAGATGGGTTCTGCAACCTGTTGGCTCTTCGTATAAATTTAACCTGCCTCCGCTTACCTTTGTCTGTGTGTATGTATGCGTATTATATGGCAGTCGCGTTTATATGTGCTGCTTTCGTTTTTGCCTACGTTTGGCTGTCCTTTATGCTCGCACCGCACCAACGGGTCGTATGCGCAATTATTGGTATAATGGCTTCACTTAAATCTTAACCCCAGAAGGCCCCTACACCTATAACTCAGCCAAGCGGGTTACTTGAAGTGACTACACCTCTTAAGTGAAGATAGTTAAATCTTTGCCCCATCAGACTTTGTTCTTATAACCTTATTAAACTTTAAGTATAGAACCAGTTTTTGTACATATTATGCTTGTTTAAAACACACGGGCTTAGAATATATATATTATTGTGCTATTCGGTGCCAATATAAAAATTTTTATAAAAGCAAAAGTAAATGAATGCAGTGGTCTCAATTAAAACAAAAGCCTGAAAGCCCAACAACCCCAATAAAAAACAAATTATTATTTTGATTAGTTTATTCTGTATCTTAAACATTGTATATAATAAATACAGTATGTAGTTTATACATAAAACAAAGGTAATGTTTTTATACATTAAAGGCTTAAGATAATCGTATGCTTACTTAAAACAATTGTAACCAATAAAAAATAAATAAAGTGTTAAGGTAAAGACTTAAAATAATCTTATGCTATCTTATGCTAACTTAAAATAATTTTATCCAATATCCCTTGCAGACGGTTTTATAATTTCAGTCCTAAGCCGAGTCGATTAAGCCATTTCCTACTGCAAAACCTGTTAAAAACTGCCCATAACTCTTCGTACAGACAAAGTGGCATACTTCTTAATGATTGTGGTTTAATCCTCTAAGAAACTGTGTTCTCAGCTTGGTTTGTATTTTGGAGTCGATTTTTCGTCATTTTGACAGTGTTACCCCTTTCCAAATTTTCGAAAAATGGCTTTGCAGAAAAGTGACCTAAAACCTGCACTTCTAAACCCATAACTTTTCTTACAGACATCCGATTTTAAAGTGGCGTACTTCTAAATGATTGTGGTTTAATAATCTAAAAAACTGTGTTCTCAGCTTGGTTTGTATTTTGGAGTCGATTTTTCGTCATTTTGACAGTGTTACCCCTTTCCAAATTTTCTAAAAAATGGCTTTGCAGAAAAGTGACCTAAAACCTGCACTTCTCAGCCCATAACTTTTCTTAAAGACATCCGATTTTAAAGTGGCATACTTCTAAATGATTGTGGTTTAATAATCTAAAAAACTGCGTTCTCAGCTTGGTTTGTATTTTGGAGTCGATTTTTCGTCATTTTAACAGTGTTACCCCTTTCCAAATTTTCGAAAAATGGCTTTGCAGAAAAGTGACCTAAAACCTGCACTTCTAAGCCCATAACTTTTCTTACAGACATCCGATTTTAAAATGGCGTACTTCAAAATGATTGTGGTTTAATTGTCTAAAAATCTGTGTTCTCAACTTGTTTTGTATTTTGGAGTCGATTTTTCGTCATTTTGACAGTGTTACCCCTTTCCAAATTTTCGAAAAATGGCTTTGCAGAAAAGTGACCTAAAACCTGCACTTCTAAGCCCATAACTTTTCGTACAGACATCCGATTTCAAAGTGGCATACTTCTAAATGATTGTGGTGTAATCCTCTAAAAAACTGTGTTCTTAGCTTGGTTTGTATTTTGGAGTCGATTTTTCGTCATTTTGACAGTGTTACCCCTTTCCAAATTTTCGAAAAATGGCTTTGCAGAAAAGTGACCTAAAACCTGCACTTCTAAGCCCATAACTTTTCTTAAAGACATCCGATCTCAAAGTGGCATACTTCTAAATGATTGTGGTTTAATCCTCTAAAAAACTGTGTTCTCAGCTTGGTTTGTATTTTGGAGTCGATTTTTCGTCATTTTGACAGTGTTACCCCTTTCCAAATTTTCGAAAAATGGCTTTGCAGAAAAGTGACCTAAAACCTGCACTTCTAAGCCCATAACTTTTCTTAAAGACATCCGATCTCAAAGTGGCATACTTCTAAATGATTGTGGTTTAATCCTCTAAAAAACTGTGTTCTCAGCTTGGTTTGTATTTTGGAGTCGATTTTTCGTCATTTTGACAGTGTTACCCCTTTCCAAATTTTCGAAAAATGGCTTTGCAGAAAAGTGACCTAAAACCTGCACTTCTAAGCCCATAACTTTTCTTAAAGACATCCGATTTCAAAGTGGCATACTTCTAAATGATTGTGGTTTAATAATCTAAAAAACTGCGTTCTCAGCTTGGTTTGTATTTTGGAGTCGATTTTTCGTCATTTTGACAGTGTTAAAAATTTTCGAAAAATGGCTTTGCAGAAAAGTGACCTAAAACCTGCACTTCTAAGCCCATAACTTCTCTTAAAGACATCCGATTTCAAAGTGGCATACTTCTAAATGATTGTGGTGTAATCCTCTAAAAAACTGTGTTTCTCAGCTTGGTTTGTATTTTGGAGTCGATTTTTCGTCATTTTGACAGTGTTACCCCTTTCCAAATTTTCGAAAAATGGCTTTGCAGAAAAGTGACCTAAAACCTGCACTTCTAAGCCCATAACTTTTCTTAAAGACATCCGATTTCAAAGTGGCATACTTCTAAATGATTGTGGTTTAATCCTCTAAAAAACTGTGTTCTCAGCTTGGTTTGTATTTTGGAGTCGATTTTTCGTCATTTCGACAGTCTGGCTTTGCAGAAGGGTGACTTAAAACCTGCACTTCTAAACCCATAACTTTTCGTACAGACATCCGATTTCAAAGTGGCATACATATAAATGATTGTGGTTTAATTCTCTAAGCTTCTGTGTTTTCACTTTTTTTTATTTTTGGGTTGCAAATGAAAACCTGAAAACCCAACAACCCCAATAAAAAAACAATTTATTATTTTGATTAGTTTATTCTGTATCTTTAACATGGTATATACTAAATAAAGTATGTAGTTTGTACATAAAATAAAGGCAACATTTTTATACATTAAAGGCTTAAGATAATCGTATACTAACTTAAAACAATTGTAACCAATAATGAATACGCTCTGGTTGTCATAGGACGATATAAATTCGAACTCGTATTGAGCAAACAAACTGAACGAAAATTTCGACATTCCACCGGTGGCCGTATCGTTATATATTTTTGTATTCCTTCGCAGTCGCAGTCGCAGCCATGTCCACGGCGAAGCACCAATATGGGTCGACTGTGCGCCACACGATTGTGGAACGGTCCAACCGGCCGGTTGTCAACCGGATGTTGCGCTCCGCCCGACTGGACTCCCTCGTGGCACAGAATTTGACCAAGCCCTTCAAGTCGAAGACGACGGAGGTGAAGACCCAGCTCATGCAAAAGGAACGCTCCTCCAGCACTGGGATGAGTGGTTTTTCCAAGCTGACCTATCGGGACGGACTGGCGGGCAAGGACTACTGGAACGCGGCCATCGAGGATGTGGAGTTCGCCGCCGCCTGCCGCTTCCAGCCGCGCATTCCCGTCATCGACTACTCCCTGGTCCTGCCACAACGTCTTCGCGAGAGGGTGAAGCGCATCCAGAACTATGACTACTCCAAGTCCGACGACGACATCTACATCCGGGACGAGATGCAGGAGGTGCGGCCCGAGGACTACATGAGCGCCAGCAGTTCCGAGAGGAGCGAGGAGGAGGAGGAACCAGTGGTGGGTATTGGGGTAGCTCTAGAGTTCTTGCTTAGGTCCTAATTGATTTCGATAAATTCGTTGATAGCTCCTTGACATCGGCCGAAAGAAAGTGGAGGAGTACTTCAATGAGAGCGATCACTCGGACATTGTGCGCATGGAGCACGAGTTCGAAAAGTTCGATCTGAAGCTGGACGAGCCGGTGGGTCACACCCATCGCAAAGTGGACAAAACCAGTTGGTACGCAAAGTTCCTCTGTGCCCCGCGAGATAAACGGGTCAGCTGGCAGAGTCGCGTCGAACATCCCGGCCAGAACTACTCCATGGTGACGCTGGACGAGCAGGCCGAGAATCTCATGGATGCGGTCAGTATGATTACTCCAATCTTTTCCTGAAAAAAAAAAATTTATTTAAATATCTATATCCATTTCTTACTATTAAAACATGCTTAAGAATGTTTTTCTAATTTAATAATTCCAAGTACACAAATTTAGAGAATTGATTAACAATTTTAATTAAATACTTAAATATTTTACCTATATTTCCAGTCGGCGGAACGCTTTGTTGAGTGGCTAAACTCCTTTGGAACTTTGGAGAGCAACCTGACTCCGGAGAAGGTGAAGAACCTCTTCTCCATCAAGGGAGATCGCACATTGTTGGCCTCGGTGAAGACCGATCCCAAGGAGGTGAATGCCATAGCCCAGACTGTGGCCGATAAATGGAACAAGCCGCATGTAAGTAACAAAGAATAAATGTACTCTGAAAAAAACCATTAAAGATATAACATCAGTCATTTTAAGTCTCGAATTTACCTGACATTAATTTATTTATTCCATTTACAGATGGCCATTGAGCTGAAGTACGAGAAGCACATCAACGATCACGCTTCCCGGGTGAACCAGAAGCCAATCCTTAGTGCCTTTGGACGCACTGTGCCGCTGAAGGATCGCCCCTGGCTGAAGCGATCGAATGACACCGCCATCAAGACGGTTTATCCGGAGGAGCTGCTGACCCGCGAGAAGATCTTCAAGGGCATCACCCACCTGCGCAGCACCACTGCCCTCATAGACTTCTATCTGGGCCATCCGGAGTTGGAACGGCCCCAGTATCTCCTGCAGAGCGGCGACTTCGAGGAGTCCAGTGCCAGTGTGTCTGAGGTGGAGATTCCCCTCTACGAACTCCTGGGATTGCGTTATTAATCCTTACTAATCATTATGTTCACTCTTTAAATTGTCAGTTTGCTATATGCCGATGTATGTAATCCAATAACGTTTAAACTTTGAAAATTATTAAAGGCAAAAAATAAGTGATTATACTTAAATACAATAGGAAACGATAACAGTTAAGAATATTTATTTAAGCTAATTTACTTTGTTCATATCAAAATGTATACAAAAATGTTTATTTTATAAGACATACATTTTTAATTAGATTTAATTAGTAAATCGTTTTGGTAACCAATAAGAATATTTTACTTGGAAAATAAAGAAATAATAAAGAAACTAACACAGATAATACGTTTTATTGGTAACAAATACTGGGCTCTACAAAGTTAGTGTAGTCTGGATCCAGGGCAGATATGTGCCCACGTTCACGTAGACCCCTGGAACCCCAGCCTGGGCGCAGCCGATGCCCCAGGCCACCAGACCCACCACGTACCAGACCCCGTTGCTGGTGCAGACCAGCGGAGAGCCCCCATCTCCAGTGCAGGCATCCTTTCCAGCTTCGCCGCCGGCGCAAATAAAACTGGTTGGACTGAGGACGAAGGAGGCGCCTAATCGAGTAGCCTGCAACGCCGCCTGGCAGTTGGCATTGGGAATCAGTGGCACATCCACCTGCCGCTGAATCGCCTGATAGGCGCCAGTGGGTCCGAAGTCATTCTTGCCCCACCCCGCTACCCAACATCGCTGCCCCACAAAACTGGTGGTGGGCAGGCAAACAGTGCCCACTGTGGATTTGCTGGTCAGGGAAACTGGGGTGGACAACTTCAGGATGGCCACATCATTCTGCAGGTTGTTGGGATTGAACGAGGGATTCACGTACACATTGGAGACATACACATCCTGGGCGGGAATCGGTTCACTGGTGCTGCTGGCATCCCATTCACCCAGGCGGACTTTAAATGAGGTGAGCCTAAAAAGAATTGATAAGGAAAGTGATAAGGGAATAATAAGAGGTAAACTCACGCCAGATTGTAGACCTTGTGGGCGGCGGTCAGGACATGTTGAGCGGTGATCAGTGCTCCACCGCCCAGATAGACATCCGCCGTGGTAAGTAGTGCCGCCTGCCACGGATACGCTCCATAGCTCGCCTGACCAGCTCCTGCGGCGGAGGCACCAGGTGGGGGTGGCCACCTCCGGCCACATTGATAGCTTCCCGCCTGGCAGCAGGCCACCAAGCCATAGTTGCAGGTCAGTGTGGCAGATGTAGTCGGAATGGAGGGCTAAACGGGATCTGTTGTTATAAAATATAGGTATATGTAGCATATAGGTGCCTCCTTACATATCCTCCATTATTGACGATTCTGATGTCCAGCTGACCACTGCCATCGCTGGGAACGGTGGGTACGGGATTGGCACAGGATCCGGGCGGAACGCACTGGCAATAGCTGGTGGTACCGGGATTCACAATGGAGGGCACAGGTGGCCAGGTGCCCGGTGGCACTTGGGGTGGCAGTAAAGTGCCCACAACCAGCTGCCTGGTGAGTACTGATGGGCGATCAAATCCGGAACAGTAGAGGTAATTAGAGCCACTTACTGGTGTGGTTTGCTGTGCTTCCAACATCACTGGGTTGGGGTCCGGTATCCTTTCCGGCATCCGGTTGAACTGGCCCAAAGCTCCAGGCCTGCACACCGATTCCTATTCCAATGGTTAGCCACTGCAGCAGTGGCAGCCACCACATCCGACCGAACTGAGTCATAGCCAATGACAACTAAGTCGAGGCGGCGAAGCTCTGGTGGGCTATATAGCGATGGCCTGCCCATCACCCATAACTCCCCCCAATAAATTGCCTGACGAATGGCCTCCCGCGCTCAGGGATTTTCCGCGTTGCATAGAGCAACAAAAAAGCAATCATAAAAACTAAATTAGATGGAAAACGGATTGCGACACTACGAAGTGTGCTTACTCTTTTAAAAAATATTTATATATATATTTAAAATTTAATGCAAGAATTTTCTTCCGTGTTGAAAGAACTAATAAAAAAAATAAATTTGAAACAAATTATTTATTCTTCACTAACCTTAAATTGTTAAGAGTTTATACCTATTGTATAAGCTCACTATTTGATAGCTATCACATAATCTGTATAACTTATTTCTTACAATTATATATTTCTTATTCATATTTCTTATTCTTCACTATAATAAGCAAATTAACTTTTTTAATTTTTTTCTGTGCACTAAAACGAGTAAAAAGAGTACTTCTGTAAAGTATCAAATAAATTAAATTTAGACGCGCTGCGTTGACAACTCTCTGGTTCGATAATTTCATACATCTGAATATTCCCCATTGTTAACAAACAATTTCGCTCTGCTCCACTTTTTAGCTATTAAATTTGATTCTAATAACTTAATGGTTTAATTGCAAACAATTTGGTGTCGATTCATGTTTGACACTTCTCGCTTGAAAAGCAGTCGCATTTCCCTTTTTCCCCCGGGGAAAACTGTTAACAACTTGGCACCAGAGTTTGTTTAATGATTCACTCCTCATTCACAACATTCCGTTCGATCTAGTACTAAATCCCCGACTAGAGCTGTTAAACTGGGCAAATGTTAAGTCCGAGATAGGAAAAGCTCCCGAGCTTTCATATCAGGTGCGGCGTTGACTTGTTTCGAATTAATCAGTTCAGTCCGTGCGGCAAAGTGGAACGAAATGGGTCACTTGGAGTTGGATTTCCATGCTATTCCCAAGCTACATGGCCGTGAGAATTACTGGCAGTGGCGCATCCTCCTGAAGACCTACCTGGAGGCCAACGATCTGTGGAAGCATAACGAACCTAAAGAGGTAGCTAACTGGTAGTTAATGCGATTACCATTTATTTTTAACCTTATCACTATTAATTTGCAGAGCCCGCAAACTAAATTCCTGATTTTGGCCAGCGTTACGGCCGATAAGATTGAGCCATCCTACGATGACCAAAGCTGTTCGTACATTTTCCAGAATATGGAGAGTAGATTCGGGCCTTTTAGTTAGAACTTGAATATGATATATAAAGCGCCATTTAGGTTCTAAATAAATTTCCCTTTCGATCATTGATCTGGCCTTCCTATTTTTTTATTTTTGCTTTCTTTGTCATCACCGTTTCCGGATTTCTTGCCTCCTCCATCGCCTCCTCGTCCTCCACCTTTACCGCCTCCATCGCCTCCCCGTCCTCCTCCTTTACCACCTCCATCGCCTCCACGTCCTCCACCTTTTCCGCCTCCATCACCACCACGTCCAGATCCTCCATCCTGTCCATCTCTTGGGTTTTTCTTACTTTCATTTGATTTTTGATCTCTTTTATTCTCATCTTTACTTGAGTTTTCCTCATTTTCTGATTTCCCAGCACCTCCACGACCTCCATTCTTTCCGCCTCCATCACCGCCACGCCCACCTCTTCTACCGCCTCCTCCTCCTCCTCCTCCACCTCCTCCTCCTCCTCCACCTCCACCTTCTCCTCCATTTCCACCTGGCATTCTTTACTTTAAACCTACTGATAAGAAAAGAGGTAAATTATACAAAATTTCGTTTGTTGACTAACAGTTAAAGAAATAGATCCAAAAAATATTTCAATAGCTTTAGCAATGAGTAATGATAAATTTTTTTAGTGATAGGTGTTATTATTTTATAAAAATTCTTGGAGTCCATAAATCAACTCTTTTACCTTTCAGCTCTTTCCCTTTAATTGCAATACAATTTACAAACAATTTTGTGGTATCTCTAACAATGAGATTCATTTATTAAAAGTGATTTTGGTTTTTTTCAACTAACACGTGCCATCTGAATGGATTAATCTGCTTTCAATTCCTTTACAATGCATTAATCTCCGCTTACAAGCTAGTATTACGATTTAAGGCACTGTGCAAAGCACTACGTACGGATAATTTCAATTCGCATTCTCCAGAAAAAACAACTCTTAACAAACACTACATATAAGTAAGCTATATGTACAAGCTAAAATGTGGGGAGCGGCTAGCTCCTTTGTTCCGATAACGGTGATATACGACGATATTCGATATATATATATATGATTCTTGACTAGCACTCTGGCACGCCCTCCGTCGGCGTCCCTCTGAATTGGTTGGGATCATAGTAGTAGACACTGGGCGACCACGGCCTCTCAGCTCCGGCCGCCATTTCCGGATGGGCAACGGCCACTGTCCGGCAGCCGCAATCCTGGGGCTTTCCCATTCCCTCGCCGGGAAACTCCTGGCCCACCGCCTGGGCACGCAGCACAATCTGGTGGGGATTGGTCACCTCCACATTGGTTATCACTCCGGCCTCGTGCCGAAAACTGTAGAATCTGTTTGTCAAATGCCCATCCACGTAAATCTGGGGGACAGAGAAGGATTTAAATGGAATGTACTGAAATTGGTATGTAGAGTAACCCACCTCGTATCCTGCGATAGCACGACAGTCCGCCAGTTCCCATCTGACGTAGAGAGCAGTGCAACCCAGCGGGCTCACACTCTTAATTGTAACCGGGAAACTATCGCCCGGCCCTGCCCTGTTTGTTGCATCATTAGCCTTAATGTCCTAGTGAATATACATTAGAGGTTTTAATGATTAGTGGTTAATGAGTTTGGGGTAAAGGGGCTTGGAGTAAAGGGGTTTGGGAAACCTACCTTGGGCTTTGCCTTTTTGTTGCCCAGCACACAGTCCATGGCATGCAGATCAATGATCATCGAGTCTATAAAATATTTCTGTAAAACAAAAAAAATGGAAATGTGTTTAGTTAAGATTAGGGGGTTGTTTTATTAGACAAAGTGATTGAAGAGTTTTTAAAATTTTGAATTTTATTAAAATTTATATGGTCAATAAATACTTATTGATCTTAAAAATACTGTAGTCTAAATTAAAGTTTTATAAAATATAAATATTAATAAGTTTTTTTTAGGACAAAGTGTAATAAACATAAATATTGTGAGTTATGATCTGGAATCCCCAGGTTTGGCTTACCATTTCGCATAGTGGATCGCACATGGCCGAGCGCAGGGTCTTGGAAACCGTCTTGCACTCGTCGTCGCAGATGAGGGCGCGGCAGTGGCAGCAGAGGCATCCTTGCTCGGGCTGCTCCTCGCACTCCTCCTGGCACTCCTCCGGACACTCCTCCGGACACTCCTCCTCGCCTTCCTCGCATTCTGCTGGGCAGACGTCGCAGGGCTCGGCTATGTCCTCGCAGGAGTGTACAGCCGTGTCATCGCCGCCAGGACATAGACCGCAGTCTTTGAGCGCCTGCTGGAGGAGCTGCTCGCAGAGGCTTTTCAGCTCGGGAGGAAGAGGTCCATCGGGCAGCAGACCAGTACAAGGAACCTTAGGCGGCGGGATCGGTGGTTCGGGTTCCGCACAGGGATCAATACTGTAGGGATAGGCCGCCCAGTCCTTTTCCTCTTTGGTCCACGGAGGGCAGGACACCATGCCCGCAAATGGACACACAATCTGCTCGCTTTTGTCCTCCTTTCCGCAGGGCACCGTGTTCGTGGATCCATCACAGATTTCCTTCAGTGACATGCTTTGGGTCTTTTGTTCCGGCTCCTTGCCTTCCGTGTTGATGTCCGCCTCCTGCAGCTCCTTGTCGAAGAAGGCTTTCAGCTGCTTGCAAAGCTCCGACTCCTCCTTGCAATCGCATTTCTTTTTCTCATCATCATCGCCCTCGCAGTCGAGGAATACATCGCCGTCCAGGCCATCTCCCGAGCAGGTTCGTGGATCTCCAATGTCGAAGAATTGCTCTGAGGAAAAGTTACACGGCTGAATGATGCACTTTTCGGGTTCGGGTTCTGGCGGGAAATCCGGATCCAATTCAAAAGCGTAGATATCGGTCTCTGGGACCTCCGGTTCCGGCGGCGGCAGGAAGCACTTGCGCAGGTATTCCTCCAGCTGATGGAAGCACTCGACTCGCCGGAGCTCCCTCTTCGACTTGGGCTTATCGCCAGGCTCCTCCTCACCCTTTCGGTCATGTTGGGCCGCACAGCACTCGTCGAAGGGCAGACATGGTTCAGAGGGTTCCTCCTCCGGGGCAACTGCACTCTCTTTTTCCGATCTTAGGAGAAGAGTCAGCTCCCGGAAGAGCTGCTGGATCATGCAGGGGCGAGATACGCCGCAATCGCAACTGGGGGTGGTTAGCTTCTCCATCAACTCCAGAATGCGCTGTTTTCGCGTGCAGCAGGCCATTGTTTTATTCCCGCAGATATCTTCCGGTGTCTGAAAACCAGTGCCCTCCTGGGCACTGAACATCTCCGGCAGATCGTCATTCACGTAGCATTGGCACTCTTTGTGAACACACGGCGACTGGGAGAGATCCTCTGGAGGTGGTTCATCGCCATTGCACAGGCAACTGCCGCCGGAGAGACTTCTGTGCGTGTGGAGACTGGTCTGGATGGGATCGGAGTCGGATTCGGATTCGGAGGACTTGCCGCAGTCACAGAACTTCTCATGGTCCTTTAGGCTAACTTTCCTAGAACGGAAAGAGGCACTGGGGTCACATTGGGATGTCTGGTACTCCTCGAACTGGGCGAAGCCGGATGGGTGTTGTATTCTGGCGGAGGGACCGGGCTGGAAGAGGCTCTCTGCCGCACACTCTGTGCAATCCACAAACTCGCGATCCTCTTGATTCCTCCGATGAGAAGGGGTGTCGGCCAGGTTGGTCACGAAGCCCTTGACAGGCTTCTGTTCCGAGGCACACAAGCAGGTGATCTGGCCCACAATCGACTGGGATCGTGTGGTGGCCGAGGTCTCAGTATCCGCTCCAAAGGAAGGCTGATTGCACGGATGTCCCGACCTGGTGGCACTTGACATGCTCTGATAGTTTCCCTGACTCCGCGGATAGGAGACCATCGAGGGGGGCTTAGATGTCTGGGTGGCATTGCAGATACAGGGAGGTTTTTCAACTGGATAGGCTTCACTATCCGGATCCTTTAGAGCAGACAACCAAGTCACGCCACTTTGGTTCGGTGGATTGGACTTACTGGGCATACTGGACAAGCTCTTGGAACGGGAGTGCCTGCTCCTGGCTGGTTTGGCATCCGGAGCGATGGTGTGACCGCTTTTGAAGGAGGTTACGGTGACCTTCGATTGGATGGGATCCCTGCTATACGATGGAGCACTGACCACATTGCTCTGACCTGCCCAGTAAGGGGGATTGGAGCCACAGGTGCAGGGATCGAGAAGCTCCTTGGTGCAGTTTGTTAGAGCACTCTTGAACGAGGCACTTTGTTCCGTCACCGAGGTCCTCACTGAGCAGGGCCCTTTCTGGCTGGGCTTCTCCAGGTTACTCACTCCGCAAGGAAGAGCATCTTCGTGGCACTGGCACACGTGGGTCTTGACCGCCGGTGGATCGGCGGACTGGGACCGCTTGACCTTGCACGAGCAGGATGGCTCCTCCTCCTCATCCTGTTCCAACTTCGATTCCGGCTCCGATACCGGGTTCTTGGGCGTGTGGTGCTCCCGCAAAAAGGAGGCCTCCGTCTGCGAGGGCTTGGCACATGGATCCTCGAAATCAGAGGGCTCAGACTGGGACTTTGTCGGCTTCCAGTGGGATTTCAGGTAGGATTGCTCGGTCTGTTGGTGGCGGGAGTTGGGGTCGTTGTCGGAATGTCGCTCATGCTGCATGTACATCAGAGCCGGGCATTCTACGGATGAAAAGAGAGGGAGAAAAGTAGGATTGGATTAGACATTACATAAAATGAAAGGATTGATCCCCAAGAATCAGTTCGTATATATTGAATCTGCTGAATTGTGATCGATTTCTATATTATAATTTTCCTTATTATTATTGTATTCCTTATATTACTTTTCCATTTTTATTGAAAACATTTCTTGAAGTTTGCTTAATATTTGTTTTTGGCATGGTGACCATATTAAAATGTAAGGTTCATAACCATTCGATGGTAAACCATACAAATAGACTGCAGCCCTAATCGAAACATCGCTTCTTAACCGCCAAAATAAAGTAAGTGACAAAAAAAGTAAGCAATATCAAAACTAGATAAAAGAAGTAAATTCTAATTTTAACTGGAAACAAACTGGTTTTGGATCTAAAACATATGATTTTTTTTCGACTATTGAAAACATCTATTCAGTCAAAGATATTAATAAACATTAAAAACAAAATTAGGTAAAAGATTTTAAAAATAATAAATAATAATACTATAAAAAGACGTCGTCGCTTACAATATTGTTGCGGTTAAGGCTCGAAAGGTTGAGCTATAACCGTTACCGAACCGATGCCGAAAACCGATTCGGACCGATTCCCCGGCTAGAACACACACGATTCGATTCGATTTGATTCGATGGGCAAACACATTTTATTCGGTTGGTTGGCTTATGGGCACGAGCAGTTCCTTGATTTCGGTCAATTGGATTTCGCGGCCCCGCGTAAGTTCCGGCTGGGACCACATCTCGACGTGGTACAGCTCCAGGAACTTGGCCTCCGCCTTTTCCCGGCACGGGCAAAAGTCAAAGTAGGACTCCTGGCTGCAGATCTCCCGATCCTCGAACTTGGTGAAGATGGTGCCGCGCTGGACGCAGCGGCAGACCTTCACATTTTCGTGCTCCTGGTTTTGGGCAAAGGAGCGCTTCTTCCACGGACACATGCAGCAGCCACAGTTGCCCGGACAGAAGACATTGCCCTCCTCGTCCATGATGGGACTGGGATCGAAGCGGCAGGGGGAGCAGTTGGAGAACTCCTTGTTTTGGGGTCGCGCCATGTAGTATCGCTTGCTACTCGTCGGCTGTGCCTCTGGCGGCAGTGGCTCCTCCTCGCTGGACAGCATGTCGTCCGACTCCTCGGTCCGGTACTCTGGCTCGGCTGCTGGCGCATCGATTTTCAAGTGCCCCGCCTCGGCCGCGTCCGCCAGATCCTCCAGAGATTCCTCTTCCGGCGGCGGCGTGGGCAATAGCTCTGGAAATGGCTCGGGCTCCGGTTCCGGCAATGGCAAAACGCATATGGAGATCACCTCCCGCGCCTCCGGATCGTACCGGTGGCCACAGGTGGCGTTCGTGCAGCGGTAATACTGCGACGTGGAGTCCCCACAGCTGCCCATGTAGGTGGTCCCACCGGACCCTTCGGTCACCTGCTGAGATTCGCAGGGACGTAACTGTTCGCTGGCGGATTTACCTGAGCTGGGCTTGGGCGCCCTCGGAGCTGGTCCCATCCGCTGCTGGGATCGGCACTGGCAGATGGACTCCTTGCGGTGCCTGCTGGCCGGCGGATGTTTCTGCTTCTGCTGGCAGCTGGCTATCTTGCCGCTCTGCGGATTGAACTCCAGCGGCATCTGGACGGTGACGGGTTTGCCGTGCAGCGGACAGCCGATGCGACTCTTCTTCGGGTCCACCAATCGAGCTGTCAGCTCCAGGGTGACGGCACACGGCCGATTCCATCCGCCCAAACTGTCAAAATTCTTGAGCAGCATCTGGGTGGTGTTGGCCGCCCGTTCCAGGGCCTCTCGAATCGACGTCGGATCGTCAAACTTGCACCGACTGGTCGCACTGCGGCCCTCCTTCGGAGAGTCGGGCAGTCCTTCCGGGCCAAGGCAGTCGAAGAAGATGTCCTGGTCACTGCGCTGCTGCTGGAAGTTGTCGCCCATGAAGAGCAGTCGCGTGGAGTCCATTCCGCGGGACAATGTCATGGTGCTCTGGCTCATAAAGCGACCCCGCGAATAGTCAGTTTGATCCATGCTCGGATCAGCGGGTGGGTTGGTGGGTTCCTCGTCCATGACGCTTGAACGACTCGCACTGTTTTCCAAAAATCAAGTCTTGAACTTACATTCAATTTTTAAGTGTGTGTTGCCTGTTCGATTGAGCCTAAATTACTGAATTCCGACGTGCCGATAAATTGACATTTGGGAATGGTTTACTTTGGTGCGACAAGCAGCTCCTATGATTTCACTTTAAAAACGTTTTTTTTGTCTTCAAAAACTCTTATATCTTTGTGTTCTAACTTGGCTAAAATGGGACTTTCTGCTGCAGGGCTCACAATTTTAGATAGTGGATGTCTAAAGCTAAATTTACTCACTTTTCGGATATTGTGGGACTATTTACCATTACTATTTTTTCCAAAAATGTATAAAATTTCCAAATTTTAGTTCTGAATACTTTGGAAATATTATTACTAGTTCAAGTAGCTATAAAATCACTATTTAAACATTTTTCCTTTACGGAAGGTAGAAAAAAACCCACGACCCACTACAGTAAAGAATACAAAATGCCTAAACATTGTTAAATTTAGTGATGAATAAGTGTTCCAGAGAAGCAATTAATTTAAGGACATTAAATGACAGGTGCAATCACTGGAATTTACGAGCTTTGATCCGGCTCCTGGCCATCGTAGCGAACCTCGTCCTTTGTAGCGCTCCATCGCACACTGGTTCTCCTGTTCTTGAACTTGCTGTGACTTTTGGGTGCATTGCAGCCACAGAAGGTACCGATCGACTTCGGCTGAAAGATGTTCACCTTGACCTGGCCACTTTCCGGATTCAGTTCGATGGGCAGCTTGAGGGTCACAGGGTCTCCAATCAGTTTGCACTGCCTGTCCTTGGGACAGGGACACTTGTCGTCGGTGTGGAGACGAGCGCTGACCTCCAGGGTGGCCGGGTAGAAACGGGTCATCGATGGGCGAGTGGGCACGCAGTCGGTGCCGCCATAGCACCTCAACAGTCGCTGGGTGGTATTGGCTGCTCGTTCCAGCACGGCCCGAATCTCCACGGGATCGTCGAATCGGGGCGCCCGCTTGCAGATCACCTCGTCGCCACCACCCACTGCCAACTCCGGAGACCCCTCGTCGTCACTCCGGCAGTCGTAGAACGTATCCATACCCTCATTGCCGCCAATCATACTGCTTAATTAATAACAAATTTGGAAAAATCTAGGTAAGAAGTGATTCAACCGAAACTACAAGTTATTCTACAAGGGAAACTTATCTCAAGGCACTACAGATTATGTCTAGGAAACTGTAGTGACCCATCTGAACCCAATGGATCTTGCACAGACCACCTGGGATGACTTTTCATGAACCAATCCACCTAAAGATCTAAAGCCTGACAGCCTATATAAAGTCCAGGAGTCACTTGGTAATTTACATTTATAGTTTTTATGGGGTATTTACATCGAAATTGAGATCATGAAGGGGGCTCATTAGGGAGCCCTGAACAACGTCGAGTTGCTTCGCTCCACGGGAATGTAGACGGTGCAGCAGAACTCCAACTCCACCTTCTGGTTGTGATAGAGCACCAGCCGGGCATGGATGCGCTGCTCGATCTGATTCAGCAGCGCCGAAGATGCGGGCTTGAGGGCCAACTTCAAACTCCGCACACAATCCAGAGCCGCCACAAATCCCTCGTAGCTCTCCGGCGACTCTGCGTTCTTCCTCTCCGTCCACATGTCCTGCAGGAGTTCGAGGTGCTCACGGAAATCCTCCCCGCCCTCCCACAAGTGGAGAAGGCGTGTCCGGAAGGCGGACACATCAAAGTACTCATTTGTGGCGTCCTGGAGGAGATCAACGAAGCAGCGGGTTCTCAGAGGCAACAGGAGCAATCGCTGCTCCACACCTACATCCACTTGAGTTCCGCTCTCCACGGTTTCTGGTTGCACCTGGGTTTCCCGTTCACACAAATCCGGCGTGGTCTGGACCTCCTCCTCCACACTCTTCAGATCTTCTGTTTGGACGAAGGATCCGCTGGCCAGTGATTCCCAATCTAGATTGACCACTTCCGCATGCATGGAGTACAGGGAAAGTACCGAATTGGTCGAGTGAGCCGTGTGAACTGACAACACCGAGTGGAAACTGTTGCAGGAGAGACTTGGCTGGAGCGGAATAGCCGGAGATCGATTTGAAGCCCTCATGCGAGCACGGTAGATGCGCCTGAAGGTGAATCGCTCCAACATGGATCGCTGACGGTGAAGTGGCCTTGGCTGCACCTCCTTCTCCACCTGCGCCCGCTTTTTGCTCTTCTTCTCGACTTGCTGCTCCACCTGATCACTTTCGCTGGCCAGTTGCCTCAAGAAGGAGGGCACCTCGGAGATATTCTTCTGTACTTCATCTGGTGGCTTGATGACTGTCAGTTGTTTTAGATTCGTCCGACTGTCAGCTCCGCCACGAGATCGCCTGGATTTCTGGGCGTACCTGCCCACCTTCAAGCCCTTTGGCCGGGATGAAGACGCCTGGACACTTACACAACTAGATGGCTTGCTCCTAACAATGGGTTCACTTCCATTGTCTTCTTGAATTGCTTGACTTTCCTCAATACGCACTGACTTTCTTGACCTGCCTGATTTTCTTGAACTGCCTGACTTTCTTGACCCAGTTGACATCCTTGACCCAGTTGACTTTCTTGAACCAATTGACTTTCTTGACTAGTTATGGTTGATAATCCCGTCCCACTTATCCTAGTTAATGAGGGCTCCTGGGCCGTGGCCCAGCTGATGCCTTCTATCTCCGATCCAGCCCACTGGTCTGGCTGGTTCTTAGCTAGACTCACCTCAGACGGACTCTGCGAGAGGAGGGTGTCCGCCAGATGCTTCACGCTGCAGGCGATCGCCTGGAAGTCCTTGTGGAGGGGCAGCTCAAAATCGCGACCCTGTAATAGAGAATAAGGGGAATAAGGATAACCTTCAGTTTAATATGGTATACAACTCACCTCCAGGTCGAGCAGGGCCACGCCCAATCCTTGGCTGGCGGCCTGCAGACTCGGCACTTCGTCCTTCTTGGCCCGTTTGGCAGGACTATCGTAGAGCTCATCGGCCAGGCTGTAGCCCTCGGGAATGACGCCCAGTTTGCGCTCCATGAGCTGGCACTGCTCGTCCTTGGTGCGCAGCTCGTCCTCCAGGCAGCGTGCCCGCTCCTCCGAGTCCTTCATCTGCGTCTCCATCTGGCGGATCTTGTTCTCCAGCGTGCCCACCTCCTCCTTCAGTTCGCTGTTGGTGACCTCGATGTGCAGGTACTCCTTCTTGATGTCAAAGATCTGGGTGCGCAGAGCATCCGTCTCCTGTCTCAATTGATCTTCAGTATTTTGTTGGACCTTCTTGGCAAAGCTCAGGTCATCCATTAGGGCCTGGCTTCGTCGCCTTTCGGTTTCCAGTGCCTCCGTTAGGGGCATCTTGTGCTCCGCCTCCATCTCCATCTTGGCCATCACGCTCTCCATGCTGCACTGCAGCGTGCGATTCTCGGTGAGCAGATCGCGATGCTCCTTGGTCATCCGAACCAGGCAAGTCTTCAGTGCCTGTTCGCCCTCCTCCAGCTGCTGGATCTTTTCGGTGGCCGCCCGCGAGTCCTCCCGCAGGCAATCCTGCAGTTGGCCTATCTTCTGCTTGAGACTGGCCTCCTTGGATCTGTAGGCCTCCTCGCGCTCCTTGTACTGCTGCTCCAGATCCACCCAGTGGGAATCGGCCGTCTCCATGGCCTCATAGTGCCGGGCATTCAGCTCTTTCAGTTGGCTTCGCAGGCTCTTGACCTCTTCCTTGAGGTATACGATCTCGCGACCCTCGCCAGGATCTGCATATCCCGCTTGACCGAGACTAAAGTCCGATGTGTGCATTTTGGCACCATGAACCTGACCTCCTTGGCCTGAGGAAGTGTAGCCGGAGGAGAGACGAGGACTGTTTTCCGGGGATGAAATGTTGTTGCCCATTTTGGCCAATGATAACAAACGACAGATCAGCAGCAAAGGCAAGGATCTGCGCAGATCCTGCAGCTCTTTTCTGGCTTGCTTTCGTTCCGTTTGGAGATGCTCCAACTGGGTTTCAGCTGCTACCAGATCCTCGCGCAGGATGAGAACCTCTGCCCTGCAATCCTGGTACTTGGCGCCCAGTGCCTCCTTGCCGAATTCCAACTCCACGTTGCGCTGGCGCAGGATTTCCAGTTCCACCTCGTTGCGCTGCAGATGGAGTCGCGTGTCGTTCTCCGCCTCCTCGAACTCGCACTTGGCCTCCTCCAATTGGGCGTTCTGATCGGTTAGCAGTTCCACCCGGTCGCCCAGCTCCTTGAGATCCTTCTCCAGCTGCAGTTCCCTCTGCAATCTCTGGGCCAAGTGCCTGGCCTGCGTCTCACCACTGCTCTCGTAGATCAGCAGCTTGCCCTCCAGTTGCTCCAATCTCTCCTGGTAGAACTGTAGATGCGGGTGGTTCACGTTGTTCGACGGCAGATCGCACTCCACAAATACTCCACTCTCGCTGAGACTGCTGCTCTGCCACGAGCTCACCTGGCTGCAGTGCCTCTTACTGGGCGTGGGCGGAGTGGTGGGCGTGGCACAATTGCTGTACGGCTGGACGGTGGCTACGATCCTATGATTGTGACTCTGACTGTGGTTGTGACTTTGGGTTGGGTTGTGCCTCCGGGGAGTTTCCGTGCGGTTCTGTGTTTGCAAAATAAAAACAAAACTTGAATTTTAGCGATTTCTTAGTCCGAACTTTTCATTAAGGTGGTTAAAACAACTAAAGGAAAAGGAATAAGTTGAGTATCAGTATCTTTGTAGATTGTATATGTTCGCAAAACTCTCTGTAGTGTTTTCTACGATTAACTGACAAAAATAACTGAGGTAGCTATGCTTAAATAGATTGTGGCTTACATTTTAAAGTTTACTCTCTTGGATTTTATGGATGAATATACTAGGAAAATTAAATTACAACTGAAATACCTATTTATTCCCATTTTATGCAAAATGTGAATTTATATTTACATGTAATGGTCACAATTTAGTATGTCAAAAGAGCTTTTTCATACCTGATCGCCTGGCATCATGGCGTCCAGGTCCAGTTGCTGGACGCACTGCAGCAGTTGTTGCAGGCAGCGCTTGTCCCGATCCTCCAGTTGCTGGGCAGACTGCTCCAGCAGATCCTGCAGACTCTGGCAGTGGCCCTCGCAGGTGCTCTCCATCTGGTTAGGATTGAAGATCGAGGATATGGCGATTAGATATATTCCGCTGTTTAACAGTTACTTAGGCAAATTATCACTGGCTTTATGCTCCGCTGCCGACACTGACACACTCTCATGTGCACACACCGATCTCCGACTAATTTCACTTTGCAAGCTGCTCGAATAATTACTTTTGGTTATTGCAATTAGGCGAGTGAATTGGATTTTCAAGCTGAACGACTTCACTGCTGCTGGCTGCCAGCTGAAACTGTTTGGCTCTAGAAATTAAACGTACCGAAACTGAAAAACAGCATACATGATTGATGGATACGGGGCATCGAATTGGAGATACCCTCTATACAAATTTTAGTATTTTTCTGTTTACTAAGAAATTAGTGTATTATAAGCTAAGTACAAGGTTCTATATAATTTCCTTTCTGCATAAAAGATATATTTATTACTTCATTTTTGATTGTTAAATAATTGTTACTAAAATATGTGTTTATTTTTCTTTTTTAAGATGTGAAAGATACACCAAATAGAAATTGTTAAACAAGACACATTATTCCTTTTAAAGGATTGTATAGAATTTATTTGTAGATTATAATTCCTTTTAGGTATTAATAATTTAGGTATTACTGTGGCCTATTCCCCATGATTTCTAAACGCAATATAATGTGTTAAAGTATAACGAGGTACCCTCAACATCAAGGTTTTATATATATTGCACAGAGCTTTCCAAATATTTTGCTCATGGTAATTGAAGCATTAACAAAAGTTAAGAAAAGGCCCTACATATTTTTGCCAACCCGATATACCCTCATCCGCTCCATTTAATGGGCACCACTAAGGTGTGGGGCCAACAAAGCCTTTTGCTGGATTTGGTTGTCTATGAGTAACGACAAAAGACCCATAAGTATAACAAGATTCGTAGATGGCGGCCACTTAGGGCGCTACCCTTATAAGCAGCGTTTTAAGCGCTTGACTCTGATTTGGCTAAAACAACTCCTAGGCTAAATCGTCTATATGGCTAAGAAGCGACACCAGCATGGTTAAATTGTAGACGTTGATCACGGATCGATGATGTAGTGACATAAAGTCGCAGTGCAGACTCACTAGCAATTGGAAAGTTTAACCACAGATTTCAATTCCTGAATATTTTATAACACAGGCAAATGAGTTTGTCATTAACTGCGGCTGCTCCAGTGAAACAATTTCAATTGGAAAATACAAAAGATTGTTGTTGCCGTTAAACCAAAACAATTTCCGTGCTGGCTTAGATGCCGAACAAAACTGCGAGACTTCAGCACACGAAGCTGGCCAAAAGCGTTAACTTGGCTCTGAGCGAGCTCAAGTCAGGTTCGAATGAAGTCGACTCAATTCATTCATAAACAACCGCCAAGTGAGTCACTCGCTCGAGTGGTTTCCCAAACTGGCTTTCGAGTGATTCGCGGTCTGAGGTGCCATTTGCTTACCTTATCGCTATCATCCTCCAGCTCGAGAATGCGAAACTCCAGAAGTTCGTTCTGTTCGCGCAGCTCGCTGGTCTCGTCCTCGAAGGAGGAGTGCTTCTCCTCCAGCTCCTTGATCCGCTGCATCAGCTCCCCAATCTGGGCCTGCTTCTTACCGCTGCTCATCGCCGCCTTCTCCGCGGCCTCCAGCTCCTGTTTCATCAGCTGCACCTCCGTTTGCAGGCGCTCGTTCTCCTTCTGGTACATTTCCGCTTCCTTTTGCAGCTTGTCCAGGTCCTGCAGCTGCAAGAAAACGAGGGTGGATTCAGTATGTATTTAACGGAAACTATTCTAGGACCTCTGGGAAATCACCCCTGAAGAATCCCTCTAGAATCCTAATGGATGTTCCTTAATTTAACCATTTCTTTTCTTATTTTTCTTCATCCTTATTACTTCAACTATACAATCATTTAATCAAATGTATAATTACGTTTTTGTAAAATAACTAAAAAAATTTTTATAATATTTGTATCGATAATTAAGAAATGTAAAGTTATATTACGAACTTATGCATGGATCATGAAGGTCTTTAAAAATATCCAATGCCTTGGGAAATAACTTTTGTATACGCCTTTCATTCTATTCTATGTTATGAAGATCAACAAACGATATTAATTTCCAGAGTAATCTTTTCTCAACAATTAAAACATCTTATTCATTTTAGAAATATACATTTATCAAAATGTTTCTTATGGAATACTAAAGAGCTATTAAGTAGAAAACAGAAGTTGATTAACTGATAAGCATTGTTTTAGTTTTTCTAAAAATAATAAATCACAGTCTATCATTATTAATCAAGTGGTTTAAAGCAAGCCTCTCATTTCTAGACTTTGATGGGTTTTTGTTATGTTTTCCAAGCCCAATTTAAAGCCAAGCTCGAGTAGCTGGCAGAGACCAAGTACTTACAGTCTGCCAAATCACGCCGCTGTCGGATCCGCTCGAGGGCGGCTGCGGGCTGATGGAGGGCGGGGCCGAGGACAAAGCCGAGTCCGTGTCCGAATTGGGGTCCTTGAGGAGGGGGAAAAAGAAGAGGCTTAGATGTCAGAGTTCGACGAAATGCATAGGCAATGACTCACCTTCGACTTGGCTGCCGCCGGATGATGGATGCCGAGCAGCGTCGTCATCCAAGTGGTGGCCCTCATCTCGTCGGGGGCCCTCATGCGAGGAGGAGCATCATCCAATCCATTCGGTTGACTACTCTTCATTGTTGTGCGCATCTCGAGCGCTGATTTATGTGCATTTTTCGTATTGTTGATTAGCTCAATGTTCTTGAGTTGGGTTATCTGCGGGAAATGTATGGGGAAAAATTAGAAAATGTCGTGCCATAGTTACATTTATTCCGCCACTCTCCATCACTCTTTACCCACGTTTTCTTCGGCCGACCTGGCCCAGAATGGACAAAGCAATTAACAAAAGAATCTGTTTTTTATCTGTTCTTCGTGGCGCGTACGTATATGTGGCATAAAGAGGGGGCCTAAGAACTGAAAACTGAAAAGAACGCTCCGCTTTGCGGTGTGCTCTTTACATGTGTGTTAACAGTTATGACTTGATTTCTTGCCACAGACACACATTTCGCTGAAAAGCGCCAAATCATTATTATGGACAGGTACAGGTTGCTTTTGATCCGGACAATGGGTACCAGTGGGTCCCAAAATAACACGGGTCAATGACACGACCGACAGATCAAAGAGTTAAAAAGGAAAAGGTGCGTTTTATTGTCGGATTAGCTGAGCCAAGGCACCATCCATGGGTCCACCAATCCACCCATCCACCGATCCTGATCGTGAATCACGAAACTCCACGCACAATTGAATTTACATTTCAAAAGTTTTCGCTTTATCGCCGGGTCGCATCACGATTTTCATGGTCACGATGCCATCCATCTGGCCTGTCAGCTAATTAGCCTCTAAGACCAACGCAATCCAAGCCGAACCCAGTTCCGAAAAGCCAAATCACTTTCCAATCAAGCAACGCCCAGTTATGTTTTACTTTCATGTCAATCGCATGTTTTATATAACACCCATAATAGCAGTGTTATTATACGCATAATGCAGCATTATGCTAATTTGTGGGCCTCGTTGGACATGAGTGTTTTGGGGCCGGAGAAATCATTAATCAATTGGGAAACGAGGTATACTCATACGTACGTACACCCAAAAGGCTTCCAGAGAGCCCAGTGCAATGACCAACCGTACATCGCTTCATTTCACAACTGACCGCACTGGGAAAAATAACTAATTGAGTTAGGGAGATTGTTCATATACACTTCCAAAGCTCAATTAAAATTATATGTTACAATTTTCTTAAGTGTGCTAAACTGCTCTGCTACTTTACGATACCTTTCTTATACATGGATGATTTTATTGAATTAATTATTTGTTTCATTTTTAACTAAACTCGAAACAATACAATTATTTTACAATTAAAATTAACTTGTTATATAATTTCCTTCAAAAATAAATATAATCAACAATCAGTTAAAAAAGTAATGAAAGTTTAAAATGAAGTAATCAATGTTAAATGGGCTTTTACATGAAGATAACGTTCGTCAACTCTTTAATGTCTAAATGTAATTTATTTAATATCTGTCGTTAAGTTTTTTTGAGTGCAGAGATACGTATATGAGAGTCCAGGGTCTGGGCCCAAAATGGAGTTGCTTTTGCTGAAGTATTGCTGCTGGCGTTGGTGTCGCATGCCTGCACGTCTTCGATTGAAATTATCGGCTGAGTGTGGGGAGCCGGGCCTGAGATCGTCGACCGATACCCAGACCTGAGCTAACCGTTATGGTAATTTCTTGGATCGATTCCAAAAGAACTTTTTGCATAACGGCCGGTTAACGAACTCGATCAACGTGCTCGGGGCGATTAAGCAAGTGGCTGTAGCCCCAAATCCTCAATCCCCCAATCCTCAATCACCAAGCCTCATTGCCCATTCCCCGAACCACTTATCTACCCTCGATTCCGGGGGACTTTTTGTTTTTGATGGCTCTATTGATGCCATATGCAGATTGCGCTAAATGCAGCGTCGACGTTGCGAGACGGAGATGCGCCATCGGGTCGGTTTCAAACGCTCGATGGATTGTTTGTAAATCTGTCGGCAGTCCCAACCTGCTGAGCCATATACGATGCGGAGATACCCAGATACTGAGATACTCAGATACTCTGAGACTCGGATGCACATAGGTGTGTTTATGTCTCGCTGTCGGTTTGTTTGCACAAGCCGCTGGCCAAGTGATTGTGATTGTGTGAAATGATTTTCCTTTCTGCAGACAGGTTTCACTTCGATCGGTGCAACTGCCACTGCAACGCCGTCTCCAACGTTCCGGGTTCGACTCCCCCGGTCCGTGGACGATTACGTGTTCCAGCAGCCATCAAAAGGCATCGCCGGCGGCTTTCGAACAGATATGGTCATTCTTATAGCATTCGATGTGCCTTCCCGGAAATAAATGATCTAGATTAACAATCAGTCTAGTCTCTTTCCTACAAACAAACCGAATTGGCATTTTGTTTATGGTTTGTTTTGGTTTCGTTTATTTCATTGTTTCATTTTTAAATTTGTTTACTTTTATATTGCGTCTTTTCAATATTTAATGATCTTATTTATTAGCAATAAGTAATATTTTCTCTTTCAGGTTATAGAATTATAAATATTAGATAAGAATAATAAGCATTTATCTAATTTTAAGTCAGAAGATAAGTTGGAATTTTAAATGGGAGACAATATCTTTGTCAATTTAAATTTACAACTAATATTATTGAAAAACAATTCTCAGAGCTATTGTCTTGACCCCAACTGTATGTACCAACTAGTAGGTATATATTTTCTTATATTTGCATTTGGCATTGTAATTCAGGTTTGACTCTGCACAAAGGCACTGCTTTGATTTGATCTTGCGAAAGCGAAAGTTTATATGCGCTAATGAATTATATTGTATTGCAGATGGTATATGGTGGTATATGGTATCAGGAGGGCCAGCCAACTGGAACTACCGCCCGATGGGATAAGCTAATTGAACTAATGAATGGACTTGGTCGGGCCCTGTTGACATATATGCATTGCGCCCCGATAATTTGCATCGATATCGCCAAACCAACCAGGGAATTATCAGGGGATACCAACTGTGGCGATTTACGATTTCCGATGCCGAAGTCGATGTTGAATGCGAGCCTTTCCCTTTCGATCTGAGATACCACAAAGAGGTAATTATTCATCCGTCGCGGCCTCAACTGTTTTTAACGATGGCCCAAAAAATTTGCAAAATTTTATAGACGGCCGTGTGGCAGAAATGTCAGGCAACAAAACTTTTGATATCGCCGATTGATAGTTAATCATCCAAGATGATCTTTTAATGGTTTTTGAAAGTGGATTAAATTGAGGCCGATAAGCTCCAGTTTTTGATTTTCAAGCAGTTTATTACGCGTTTTACTATCCTAAATTAATAAGTAAGTTTATCGATTGGTCTCAGCTTTCGAAATAAATTTTTGTATTTTTATATTCATGTTAAGCTTTCGACTCTTAAAAGGCAGTACAATTTTTATTGCAATTTGCTTTACTAATAAAAACATAACCATAAAAACATAAGATACTATTTAATTAAATTTGCATAATAATTTTCAATCCTTTTTTTTATATATTTAATGATGAAAATCATAAATAATATCTACGAATATTATTATGGTTTATTGAGCTTCTATAAAGAGCAAGAAAATAACAAATTTTAAAGCTTTGCTTTTGAACTTAATCCAAGGCTCCTTTCCCTTTTTTTAATGGAACGTCTTTGCTTTGTGAATTCTTGAATTATAATCCATAAATTAGGCGCCAATTTGACACTTCTATATGCTATACACCCCACCATTCCATTCCCATAAATCAGATTTCCCATCGCTGGCTAATTTTGTATGGAGTACGCGTCGTATGAGCAATACCCGTGAAATGAGTAACAAGTGCTACCAGAAATAGGAATCACTTAATGGCTTATACTATGTACATATTTGCTCTGGCTTTGGCAGTGGTCAATTACCTTGACATCCCTCCGGTTGTAGTAGTAATCCATTGTCAGGCGTCTTTATGCATTATTCCCACATATGAAGGTGTGGGTTTTGTTTGACAAAAACAATTAACCGCAATTTTCAAGTTTTCGTTTCTTTGATGGCAAATAGTTTTCACCGTGGTAATTTCACTAAAACATCGAAATTTATAGACACATTCGCCCAAACGATTCGCGATTTGCATATGGTTCACATTTCCATTTCACACACCCCTTTTTTCTCTTCCATGTCGTTTAGTTTTTGTTGTCTGCACACTTTTTGTGTTGTGATTACTTTGCATATTGGACGCGTCCGCAGTCCACGGATGGCGTCTTGTTTTAGCAACATCATCAACATCGCCACAATCATCATTACCATCGCTTCTACTTCGCTTTTACTGTCGTTTGGCGATACGATGGGATGACTAAATTTTTGCAGGCGACAGAGGCATAGTCATAGTCATAGCAACATATCGTATTTAAAATAGCGTTAACATTTTAAAAGCTTTTCACTGACCCCAATTGGTGGTGTGCACACACACTCCCCACAACCACACACTTTTCCTCAAAGACTCTTAACTCTTAGGGGAGAGTGGTGGTGGTGGCGAGTACACAGGCGAAAACACCAATTAATAATGCGAAGTGATTAGCATACATGAAATAGCAATAAATCATCTTATTTGTTTGAATACTTCTGGCTGAAGAAATACTTTTAATTAATTGGGTGAAAACTTCATTATGATATGAAAAGCAGTTTTAAGGCAGGGTACTCCATCAGCTATCAGATTTTAGTGTATTGATGTTTAAAACAATTGCTAAATTTAATATATTAAATGCTTATTAATTAATTCAATCCAATTTAAAATTTGAGGTAAGAAAGCAATGGAATAGTAACGAACGACTGTTATGATAAATCTATTTTCTCAAACTTTCAAATTTGATTTAAATATGCATATTCAATTAATTACTGAATTTTTCTGAGAAGTTTTTTAAATAGATAGATATCAAACTTTCACATAGTTTTACTCCCACAAAATTACCAATTATTTGAAATGTATAAGTACAATTGGCTTTAGAAGGTATTTTAAATTGATGACTTTAGGATATGACTAATTATTTGTCAGGAGTGCACACTTCTTGAAAGGCGTTAAATTTATTACATTTTTTATGGGTTAGTTATTTGTTCATACATTTTTATGATTTTCCCGGGTTGTTAATCTCAGAAATGAGCTGATTTAAGTAAACCCTGGACACTATTGGTGTTTTATTTTTCTCTGTGTGCACTTATTGATGCCGCGTTTATTTCTTGTTGCTCGATGACATCGTTGCCCGATTGCTGATGATGTTGCTGCTGCACTTTGCTATGCAAATTACCGCTGGACAGCTGGAGTGCTAGAAACTGGCGCACTGGCCGACATCCGATAGTGGATTAAAGAGATCTGCCAGATGCGAACCCAGATCTCGATTGCGATTGCGAATCCGAATCTGATCCACACCCATCCAGCTGTCACGGCCCACTGATCTCGGGATCTTGGATCTTCGCAACAAATTCTCGACTACTTTGCCAGCGATAAAAACAATTACGAGCAGACGCGATTAATGAACTGTAAAATCGAATTCGATCACTGGAACGTAACGAAGCTATGGCCACAAATCACGGCAGACAGGAGGAGGGGAGTGGGGGTGTGAAAGGCACTTAATTGTGATCGTTTTTGGCATATTTCACTAAACTATAGTGCGAAGTCGGTGAAATTATGGGTTTGTGTGCGTTAAACAATGCCAAAGAGAAAGACAAACCGTGAATGGGTTTTCCTATTCAAAAGTAACCGATTGTTTATTTGTTGCTGTGTGTATCCATCAATGTGTGGCATTTGGTTCCTTCATTTTTGGCATAGAAAATCAGACAATGCACTCCGGCGTCATACTTTTTTCATTAGCGCCTCATTCAAAAGTCCGCCAATTCTGGGCCGCGAATTTCACCTGATTATGCACTGCTTGAACTCGGATTTATACCCATTTGATATGAGCACTTCACTCTGGCTTTTAATTGAAATATGTCTTATTTTTGGGGACTGAGACACCTGCGACACCTGCGACCGCTGCGAACTTAAAAACCGAACTGACGACCATTCATGCGAGCGGTAAACTCTCGAGCGGCGGGAGAGAAAGTGAGTGAGTGAGTGAGTGGTGCGAAAAACCGGCTTGGATCCGCTTTACTCTCTCTCTCTTTCTGTCTCTCTCTCTCTCCCTCCAGCGATCCACTTGCAACACTTGCGCTGCTGCAACTGCAACGCTGCTGCAACTGCCGCAGCAGGTTTTTTCTTTCCTTTATTTTTTGTCAGTTTTTCTTCTCTTTTTTTTTTCTGCCCACCGCTTATCGACGCGGCGATTGTTGTCTTTGCCATTCTCATAACTAACGCAAAATTATATCATAGATCATGCCAATAGTGCATAACCGCCACAGGTAGAGATACAGATACAGATTCAGATGCAGATGCAGATACTCTGGCGGCAGCTGCAGATATATACAGATACTTTGCGATCCAGAGATACTGTGGCTGGCGAGCTCTTAACATTTAACCCGACTCTCAGACAAGTTCAAGTGCTGCCCCCAACCCCACAAAAAAGTTAACAAAAAAGCCAAAGAAAAATATAAAGAAACACAGACTCACCTCAGGTGTAACTTGAGCCTGGCGTATGGCATTTTGCTCGACTATATCTGTATCTGGTTCGGTTTTAGCTTTTGTTTCTCCCGTTGGCTTCGAAGTGGGTTTCTTTGGCTTTTGGCTCGTTTCGTTGGGGTTCGTTTTGGGTTTCGTCGTGGCTGGCACTTTGGCTTCATTGTGCCTCTGCTTCTTGGGACTCTGCAGTGCCAGCAAGTCCTTCCTCAGTTGTCCTATATTACGCTCTTTGGTCTTTATTTCCTCTAGCTGCAACAAAAGATTCAAAGATTGGTTGCGATCACAGGGGAAAATCGTGCATAACTATCACTTAATCGTGATGAATAAACTATGATTGGATCGTATGAATTGTAAGCTTATTTTATCCTCTTTTTAACCAGTACTTTATATTACTTAGAATAAAACAATGTTTCGGTTTCCGAATATTATGATGATTAAGCTTCTAAGTAAAGTTGGTCTAACTTAAAAGGAAACTTACTAAGCAATAACCAATTCCGATGATTAGTATGTAACTATTTTAAAAACCATCTTATGATAAACATTTGTCTGCACTAAGAGCAAATTAAAGCCCTAACAAAAATATAAATCAATAAAAATATCTGTATAAATACAATATTATGTGCTTTTTATAATAAATTTAATAGTATGAGAGTTGGTACATACTTAAGTGAGTACTCTTTTTTCTGTATCAATACAAAATATAAAAAGGTGATAAAAGCTAAGTAAATAAATAAGCTATAAAGTTTATATCATGACTACTTTATACCAGCTAGTTAAAAAAATGACCTGTTTCTTGCTGTGCAAATTCAAAATGCATGTATGAATTTCAATGGTTGTATGAAAAGTTGCCCGTCCGCTTCTGAACCGCCGGGTTCCGTTCCGTACCGCTCGCCCCCTTCCCTTTCCCCTCCCCCTACACCATCACCTTTATGGCCAACTTTTTGGTGACCCGTTAGCAGCCGCTACGCACAACTTACCAAACGTGTTATTTCAATTTTGGCTGATTTCTGTATGTGAGTCAATCGGTTTTCGTACGCGTTCTTCAATTGCCGCATATCGGCAGCCTTGAGTCTATCAGCCTGCCCCATAATCTGCAAGAAATTGTCGAATCATATACATATGCGTGCTGCCAACTTTCGGACTGGGGGCTTCAAGCAGCGGGAGAGGCCAAAAGCAAGTTGAGCCATGCTGTTAGTTTGCACTTTGCGATTAGGTCGCACATCCATTAACCAAACGAGACACAAAAACACACAAAAATGCTACAAAAAGAACGAGAAATGAAAGTTCTCGACACAGCCGAAGAAGCACATACCCTCTATAAGGTATGCCTCTTAAAACAGAAGTGTAGAAAAATGTAAAATTATGGAAGCACCAAAAGACTTTCACTAAAACGGGTGCTGATACAAATTTTAGAACGCTAATCAGAGTTTTTTATAAAATGTATATTTGGTGTGCTAAAAACAGAGATTCAGACTAATATAACAAGATCTAAATTAACAAGTTAAACAAAAAAATAGTTAACGAACAAGAACAAATCTATACCTAACCATGGAAAATGGAAGCCGTTGACTTAAACTAAAATGTCCTTTTGAAGGGTATGAGGAGCGCAGAAGATATGGCACAATATTTGCTTAATATTTGCCGATATGGCAAGCATTAAGGAAATTGCTATATCGAAATTGGCTCTGGGTATAAAAACAAAGGTGCCATTGGTCTGGGCAAACAGTTGGCACTGCAATGTCCACCCAGTGGCTTAAACAGCTCCTGCTCCTCACAATCCTGGCCCAGTTGGGCGGAGCAGGTGAGAATCGCATTCCGTTGAACACCAAGGAGAGCTCCAACCTGATGGTGAAGACGAGCGAGATCCTCTGCAGAGCTCGCATTAAAGTTCTTTTCGTATACTTCGAAAACCAAACATCGCACGAGCACACGGGTCAGATTCTGCAGGAGGTGATCAAGTGCAACATATCCTACATATCACTAAGGTAAGCTATTGATTTTATTTCTATTAAAAATAAAGCTCAAGGTTTTAAAATTCATCACAGTTTATACGAAAACCATAGTCTTAGAATTATAAGTCTATTAAGAATTGAACAATTCAAAACAATTAAGTATATTGTAAAGGTATTAATATAAATACCCAAAAAAGCATTTTTTAATTGGAAGTCAATTTATCGTAAACAGACAAACTATTTATATTATACCTCTTCGGGAAGTTTAAGTTTTTCAGGCAATTGAAATGTTTTTTGAAATCTTATATCTTGCCAGGAATCAGAATGGACCCCTGCAGGTGGTTAAGGATGATGGCATACTCATGTACATGGTGATGATCATCACAAACATATCGCAACCATTGGAACTGTCGCTGATCCGGAAGAAATCCGCCGCCAAGCACCGATCGCATGTTTTCCTCCTGGTAAGAGATGCCCAAACCGTATCCGATGCCTGGATGCGAGCTAGTTTTCGGCAGTTCTGGAAGATCTGGCTGCTCAACATTGTGATCCTTTACTGGCGGGATAATCGACTGCATTCGTATCGCTACAATCCCTTTACGGACAACTATTTGATACCGGTGGACCACGAACCGGATGGAATACCCACTTTGGACCAGCTCTTTCCCAAAAACATACCCAATATGCAGAGAAAACCCCTGAGGATGTGCATCTACAAGGACGATGTTAGAGCGATCTTTTGGAAGCAGGGAATCGTCCTCGGCACAGATGGATTGCTGGCGAGCTATGTGGCCGAGAGATTGAATGCCACCATGATGATAACCCGTCCGCACTCCTACAATAACCACAATCTCAGTTCGGACATATGCTTTTTGGAGGTGGCCAAGGAGTATGTGGACGTGGCCATGAATATACGCTTCTTGGCCCCGGATACTTTCAAAAAACAGGCGGAGAGTACGGTTTCCCACATGCGCGATGATCTGTGTGTGATTGTGCCGAAGGCCAAGACGGCTCCTACTTTCTGGAATATATTCCGATCATTCGGCACATCGGTTTGGGCCCTGATTCTAGCCTCTGTTTTGGTGGGCAACATTTTCTGCTGCATCCTGCAGGCTGGAGCAAGTGGTGTTCCCATGCAACTCTTTGCCGGAGCTCTTACCATGCCCATGACCAACATCCCCCGAAACCACTCACTACGCTTATTTCTGATCTTCTGGCTTTTTTTCGGACTACTCATCTGTACTTCGTTCAGGGGAAATCTAACCAGCATGATGGTGCTGCAGCCATCTCTGCCGGACATAAACCAGTTGGGTGCTTTGGCGGCGTCTCAGTACCGCATCCTCATCCGCCCGAGACACATAAAACACATTCAGCATTTCCTGACCCTGGGACATCAGCACGAGGCCAGGATCCGGGAACTCATGCTGGAAGTTCCAGATATCCAGATGTACGAAATGATGAAGAACAATGATATAAGGTATGTACCAATATTTTAAAGAAATTGCCACTGCCAAATTCCGATATTACCAATCTTACACTCAATAACTAATTCCTTAAGTTATTATTTAGTCACAAAAACTATATCAACAAGTTAATTAATTTGAAGTTCCATTTAATCCAATAATTTTGTATCCCCAGATACGCCTATTTGGAGAAGTACCACATCGGTCGCTTTCAGGTGAACAGCCGGGTGCACATGCACCTGGGTCGTCCGCTTTTTCACCTGATGAACAGCTGCCTGGTGCCATTCCATGCCGTTTATATAGTGCCATATGGATCACCCTATCTGGGCTTTCTGGACTCGCTAATCCGGAGTTCGCATGAGTTTGGATTCGAGCGCTATTGGGACCGTATTATGAACACCGCCTTCATTAGTTCGGGCATGAAAGTGGTCAATCGGCGACGGGGCAGAAGTGGCGATGATCCGGTGGTGCTCAAGCTGGAGCACTTTTACGCCGTATTCGCTATGTGGCTGGTGGGGATTGGGGTGTCATGCATTGTGCTGGCATGGGAGCACTTGACCCACAACTACAACTGGGCGGTAACAAAGCGGCGGCACTAACTATCGCATGCAACATGCAATGGCGGTGATGGTGATGATGACGATGTGGCCTCCACTTACCTGGGTCTTCTCCTCCTTGGTTCGATTCGCTTCCTTCAGCACGGCGATCTCGTTAGTCAGTCTTTGGATTTCATAGTTGATGAGGCCATCGGCGGTCACGTGAATGCCGGCCGAATCTGGGCCCGATTCGATGGGCTTCTTTATCCCATTGCTCTTCTTTGCAATTTCCAATGCGTGCTGCAGTTTCTTCACCTCGCTCTTCCACCGACGACTATCTGCGTCATTCTGAGCTCTGTTGGGGAAAAAGGAGATAAGTTGTAGATTTAAAATACCCAGAAATGCAAAAGTTTATTATACCCGTTACTCGTAGAGTAAAAGGGTATATTGTATTCGTGCAAAAGTATGTAACAGGTAGAAGGAAGCGTTTCCGACCCTATAAAGTATATATATTCTTGTTCAGGATCACTAGCCGAGTCGATCTAGCCATGTCCGTCTGTCCGTCTGTCTGTCCGTCTGTCTGTCCGTCTGTCTGTCCGTCTGTCTGTCCGTCCGTATGAACGCTGAGATCTCGGAAACTATAAAAGCTAGAAGATTGGCATTTTGCATGTAGATTTTAGGAGTTCCTACGCAGCGCAAGTTTGTTTCAAAATGGTGCCACGCCCCTCTGACGCCCACAAGCCACAAGCTGTGGCCACAGTTTTGATGCTATTATGAAAATTTTAATTGATATGTATTTGTTTCGTCAATACCTATCGATTGGGCTAATAAAAGTTTGCCACGCCCACTCTAACGCCCAAAACCCATTAAACGCTTAAGCCTGGCTAGCGCCTACATTTCCGCCTTTCATGGCGCCATCTAACGGATGACTTTGGAACAGCTGGCAAGGTGCTCAACAGAGTCAACGTTAATTCTCGATAAGGATTTATATTAAAGGAAATTGCGATGGTTTTCATTTGTCAATACCGAACTATATCCCAAGAACTATGCAAATCAAATCTAGGTAGCCAAATTGGAGGTCTGAGTCAAACAATGGCGTATGTGTGTATGTATGTAAGCATATACATATGTATGTATTTACATTGTACACAGTCGCAATTGCCCGGCAACAATAACTCCTTTCAAAGAAAGCTATTCGCTATTACCGTTACTCGTGTTGTGCAAACATTTAGACTTTAATATACATAATACTATTTAATACTTAATCTTATATTAAGTTGTTTAGCTGAGTAACGGGTATCTAATAGTCGAGGCACTCGACTATAGCGTTCTCTCTTGTTGTGTATCTAAATTATGTCACCCTACAATAATAACAAAGATCAGATTTAAAGAAAATGTCTGCGGAACCCGAAATTAAAACAACTTTCCATACAGAAAACAAAAGAACATTTCACAAAGTAGCTCTATACTTTTAATACTATATGTTCGTACTCAATCGATATACTGTGGTGTAATATTATATGTTAACAAAATGTTAAATGTTATATAAATGATCTCATAAATAAATATATTAAAAACAGTATTCATTTTTTGAATCTGATTTTCCAGAAATTTTTTAATCAACAGACGCCATAATCTGTAAAATTGTCTGTGGTTTCACATACATTTATATTTGCAATGTTTTTTTTTTATAGACATTTGTTGCTTGGCAGATTATATTTCTGGGTCTACTGATTGTCGAACGTCACTTAAGTCAAAGGTCAATTAATGTCGCAGTGCCTTAATGTATAGGTATATATTATTATTTAATATATAATTTAAAAATTCTAAAACGGTTCAAAGCTTGAGCTGTTATAAACTACAATAAATACTTCAAGGTTTGATAACCTTATCCTAAATTTTATTTTTGTTTTTAGTTAACATCACAGCACTCACCTTAGAGCCCTCACTGCTCCGCGTTCTGTGATCAGGCTGGACTTCAGTTCATTAACCTCCAGACGAAGTTGCTCAGTGAGGGCATTTAGTTTCTGGATGGTGTCCAGATTCTCCTGCAGCTTTCTCTTGATCCTCTGCGGAGGAGCTGCTATCACATTTGTGGTCGTTACGCCGCCAATAATTACGGGACGCTCCCGTTCCCGATCTTTTTCAACCTTTACTATCTGCTTGGTTGATCCCGTTGAAAGGGGCCTTTCGGCCTCGAAGGATTCAGTATCCTGGGGTCGCAGTTTTCCGCGACACTGCAGCTGGATGCCCTCGATGCGGGTGCGCTTCTCCTGGTTCACCGTATCCCCCACGGAAGTTAGGGAGGTGCTCAGTTTCTTTTTGCGCTTCAGCTTGTTCTTGGCCATCGTTTGCCAGTCTTCGATATCGTGCTTTTCCGTTTGGAAGCTCTCTCTGTTCTTGGAGCCAGGATCCGTCCTGCGCGACACAGTCCCATTGTGCGGCGCCAGGACATGGGTGGTCCTGCTCACATTGCATCCCTTGCTAGAGGTCGTTTTTGTTTGGTTTTCAGCCATTTTTATGTAACTTTATTATATAAAAATGTTGCCGTCGTTTTTTTTGGGTTTCTGCTTTTTCAAGTACTGCATATGCGGTGCGTTCCGACCCTTCGAAAGTCCCTGCTATACTTCACCTGGTCATCGTTGGATTCTCTTCAATCTGTAATGGAAAAATAGGAAATTATTTTTTGTCAGGAAATGACCATTGGAGGATTTAATTCAATTTTTTATCATCTGATGTAGAGTATAGAAACTGTAGGTATGTTTGTATTAACAGGCAATATTAATTTGTTTTTAATTGTTGCTATCGTATTACTCATAAGAGGTTTTTCGTGTTATCATTTAATTTTAGTATTAATTGCTTCCGCATAAGGTTAAGTCATATTCTTCAATGAAATTGTACTTTTTTTGTTATATCTTATTTTAAAATGCATCATGGAAAAAAAAAAGTTTTCAGAAATCAGAGTCTTTGCCCGCAAGGAGGTTATTTCTTCTCAAGAGCGGAGATACGCCTTTTGTCTGGCTGCATTTCAATGGCTTCTGTTTAGCCGTTGACTTCTCAACGCTTTTCTTCGCTGGCCTGAACCAATCAACAAGTATCCCCCATTATTGATTTCCAGGGAAAAGCTCTTTCTTTCATTTGCCACAATGGGTCGGTCCACACATGAATGAAAAGAAACATATAGGCACCCTGGGATTGGGAAATGCTTTACGATGCGAATTGCGTTGGGTTTACCAAATAAACTGGTCCCGAATGGCGTTTCCTAATGACGTCATGTGGCGCGCCTTTGGAATAGAACAGAATACATGTGTTATTTTTTACGTTCCCCTCTGGGGCTCTTTACACGCAATAAAAGCATTTTTCATTACATTTTCTAGAGCAAAATTCTTTGCATTGCTCCCACATCCGCCCGAAAGATTATAACAAAGCATCTATATATACTCTATGGGGTCCACACACGAGGGGCCCTCAGTTCATATATTGCTCTCCGAGAGTTCTGTCCGATCATCTTTATCAAGGCCGCGATCTATATATGTAGAGCGACAGATGTGTGTACTTGGTAACCTTCTGGCGCTTAATTGCCATTTGATTTGTTTCCCCAACACACTCCATTAGGTGTTAATAGGGACTGATTTTAAGTGGGTGGTGCCCAGGTTTATTGCTTTTTTTGTTAACAATATAAATCAGGGGAATAATATCTTAACAAGAACTATAAAGTTTACTTTTAAGACCAATGTTTGGACTTTGTGGTATTGGGAAAAAGAAAATACATGCCATACATATTTCTAATAAGTTAAATAAATGTATGTCAATTCATATTTTTCATATCAGACTCATAATGATACTGAAAAGATAAACAATTTCAAAAGTTGTCGTTCACATGAAATTGATATTTATTTTGTGGTGTAGGTTTACAATATTATGTTTGCCTTTGAGTTTAAAGGCTGGGAAAGATAATGGCTCTCATGTTGCATTTAATTTAATTAAATTAGGAAGAGCTGCCCCCAGTCAACTCGTTAATAAAGTGTTTTTGGGACGACATACACGCCATGGTGACATCACAGCCTCGGTGTGACCGGCTTGGATGGGATTGGTTTTTGTTCGAGCGAAGCCACCCACTCGATTTCCATACACCATCCACATGGGCAGATGAAAGTTTCTTTTTTGCTCTTTAAGCATGTATATTTTCAGACATATATCAATTTAAAAATATTGCCAAACGATGAGTCGGACAGCCGACGAGTGTACAGTTTTTCGGCTGATTCACTGAAGATCACGTATACGCACCATTAGCTCTGAAATCCTTGGGCGTCGTAGACCAAAGTTTGGCGTGCCTCAAACTTGTATATATTCACTCACTCACTTGCCCGACGATGTTGTAATGTAAACAGTTTATTTACTGCCTCTTTCCACTGTTTCTTGCAGTGTAATGACGTCAATACGTTAATTTTCAATAGACTTTTTTCGCGCACAGACTAAGATTGTCGGTATGTGGAGCAGTTCTTCGACAAATGTTTCGCACAATTTCCTATAATTCTTTTAATATTTCACAAAGTTCGTTTAAGGAAGCTCGCAATGTTTCTTAGTAGTTACACAAGTTCGTCGGAGTTTGAGTGAGTTATCTTCGTTTCGTTGGGGAGTATCTCAATTAGTTGCAATCAATTAAAATTGTAAATTAAAAGAAGTGTTCTATACTAGCTAAAATTTCGTTTGCTCGGCAATAGCAGAGATCTTTCGTTTCGGCCGGACACCGATTGACTAACTCGGCCTCTCGAGCTTTCGCAAGCTCTTTCACATTCGCCTCCATTTCCATTTAATTAAAGGGAGCTTTGCCATTTATTGATGCACTTCTTGGGGTTACGGGGTGGTAAAGCTCAGGCCCACTACATGTGCGTGCCCAGAAGAATGGCGGACGTGGAGCCGGAAGAGGCAATTCATTGAAAGCCGAATTCATTTTCCTCGCGGCTCTCCTATTCATAACAAAAACAAACCAGCCGCTCGCGTATTAATAACCAAAATATGCACACAGCCCGCTCCGAATTCGGTCAAAATAATAGCACACCGAAAGAAAAGATATCTCAAATGATGATCGATTGAATAATAATACACTCCATGTAAACCTTAATCCTAGGCTGTTAGAATAGATATGATAAGGTACAGCAACTAAATATTTTCAACATTGAAATGATCTTTTTTTTGCTTATTTATTCAAAAATATATACATTTTTTAAATTTTTTGATTGGTTACTAATAAAAATTAAAAGGCCATTTTAATTTTGTATCTCCAGAAAGCATATGTGCTAGTGTTAGATAAATTGCAATCTAAAAACGTGACTCTAAAACTGTTGAGAGGTTGCACGTTTGGTTTAGACCAGAAATGACTTTTGCTAATAAAACCGTTTTTAAGAAGCTAAGATAGTTGGTTGTCTTACTAACTGCTACCATGGCAACCAAACCTAATAAAAAATTTTATTGCCATTAACTCGAAAGAAAGTCTATTTAAATTGCAATTTTAATGCTATTATCTGGTCTGATATATGTGTTGTATGAATGACCCCAAATAGCGGAAACTTCACAAATCACACACAAATTTGACAATCGCCTTAACGACACAATGAATGATGGACACAATTAGAACACATTGGATTCCAGTCTGTCAACATTGTGGGACTCTAAATAGAAGCACAAGAGGGAAACAAACTTTGCACTGTGATTTCAATGGCCTTATCAACTGGTTGCTTCCACCCACTTTACTTACTCACTATTTGCATTTCTCATAGCCGGTTTTCCGAGAATCGGAATCCTTGTGCGTTTCGTAATCACTTCGCGATTTCTGGGCTGGTATCCATTGGCATCTCTTGTTGTCGTCCGTTGTCGTCGTTAGAAGTAGTCTTGAGCAACTAAAATTCCAATTCCACATGACCGAATTAGATTTAGACTGCCTGCCTCCATTTGAACCTAATTTCGGTTGAATGTTCTAGCGTTTTGGCCTTTAAACAACTCTTTTATTTTCCATTTAATTGCTGCTCGGTGCACAACTCACTCAAGTTGAGCGGTAGGAACAAACTGAAGATGCGGCGCATATTCTAAAATGGAATAAGCGACATGCGTGCGTGCATCGCCAAATTTATATAAATAGAAAGAATCACAAATCTATATTTGAAGTTAGAGCAATTTCAAAAAACCGCTCACCGGTCAACTGTGACGTCACGGAGATATCGGCGACGGTTTTCGATTACTGTGATCGATTAAAGTCTACTATTTGAATTTGATAAGGCACATAATGGGTTTCAGACAACTAGCTTATATTAAACTATAGAAATTGAAATGCAAGTTACATATCAACAGTTTATTTAATTTACAAATTACTTATACATTAACTTAACTAAGTAAGGTCTACTTTAATATTGGTCCTCTATATTAGGTACACTTTAAAAATAGGGTTTCTAAAAAACCTTCATAGCAACAATATTGCAAAATATTATATTTAGTTTAATTGCATAAAAATCCATGAAATTTGGCTTGCAGTAGGAAAGCTTAAATGAGCAAGTTCAAATTACACTTCAAAAGTGCGCCAAAATAAAGAACAGACGTCCACACTGGCAGTAATAATCGATTAAAAAAGAAATAATATCGATGCATCGATTGATCCATTACTCATTGCGGAAAACGTGAACGAAAAGCAACTTGCCGCCTGTCTGCTAGGAAATTCATTGTTTTAAACTGTATTACGTGGAAACGGCAAACCCCATCACACAAATATGGTAAGTCCAGCTGCAAATAACTCAAGGATAGTCGAGGAAACTCAAATCAAGGACTCGCTTGCGAGCGGCATGCGAATGTAAACATAACCTGCAAAGAAGCTTCTCGCAAGCCGACGACATCTGCTGACTAATTGGAGGCTTTTCACTATATATTCCGCTTTATCCGCCCGATCCGCAGCAACCGCAAATCGTGCTCCTGAAGGAAGGTACCGACACGTCGCAGGGCAAGCCGCAACTGGTGTCCAACATCAATGCCTGCCAGTCGATCGTCGATGCGGTGCGGACCACTCTGGGACCCCGCGGAATGGACAAGCTGATTGTGGATGCCCACGGCAAGGCGACGATCTCCAACGATGGCGCCACCATCATGAAGCTGCTGGAGATCATCCACCCGGCGGCCAAGACCCTGGTGGACATTGCAAAGTCACAAGACGCCGAGGTAGGTGGTATGCCCCTGAGCACGTGACTCAGCTAAAGCTCTGATTTGACTTCTCCAGGTGGGCGATGGCACCACATCCGTGGTTCTGCTGGCCGGCGAGTTCCTTAAGCAGGTGAAACCCTTCGTGGAGGAGGGCGTCCACCCGCGCGTCATCATTAAGGCCATCCGCAAGGCCCTGCAGCTCTGCATGGAGAAGATCAACGATATGGCCGTCCAGATTGTCGAACAGTCCAAGGAGGACCAGCGTGCTCTCCTCGAGAAGTGCGCGGCCACCGCCATGTCCTCCAAGCTGATTCACCAGCAGAAGGATTTCTTCTCCCGCATCGTTGTGGATGCCGTGCTCTCTTTGGATGAGTTGCTGCCCCTGAACATGATCGGCATCAAGAAGGTGACTGGTGGTTCACTGGAGGAGTCGCAGCTAGTGTCAGGCGTGGCCTTTAAGAAGACCTTCTCGTATGCCGGCTTCGAAATGGCACCCAAATCCTATGAAAAGTGCAAGATTGCTCTGCTCAACATTGAGCTGGAGCTGAAGGCCGAGCGCGACAATGCCGAGATCCGCGTGGACAACGTCAAGGAGTACCAGAAGGTGGTCGACGCCGAGTGGCAGATCCTCTACAACAAGCTGGCCAAGATCCACGAGTCCGGCGCCAATGTCGTGCTCTCCAAGTTGCCCATCGGCGATGTGGCCACACAGTATTTCGCCGACCGCGACATTTTCTGCGCCGGCCGCGTTCCCGAAGAGGATCTCAAGCGCACCATGAAGGCTTGTGGTGGAGCCGTCATGACGACGGCCAACGACATCAAAGCTAATGTGCTGGGTGTGTGCGAGCATTTCGAGGAGCGCCAGGTGGGAGGCGAGCGTTTCAACCTCTTCCAAGGTAGGTCTTTTTCCTTAATATATTTCAATCTTAGGCTTCTACTAAAAACTTTTAACATATTGTGGTATTAAAAAAAAGGGAATACTTATTTCATGGTGCTTTTTTTTAACAGGATGTCCTAATGCCAAGACCAGCACTCTGATCCTGCGTGGAGGTGCCGAGCAGTTCCTTGAGGAGACGGAGCGCTCGCTTCACGACGCTATCATGATCGTGCGCCGCACCATTAAGCACGACTCCGTGGTGGCTGGAGGTGGCGCCATCGAGATGGAGCTGTCCAAGCTGCTGCGTGACTACTCCCGCACCATTGCCGGCAAGGAGCAGCTGCTTATCGCCGCCATCGCCAAGGGCTTGGAGATCATTCCGCGCCAGCTGTGCGATAACGCCGGATTCGATGCCACCAACATTCTCAACAAGCTGCGCCAGAAGCATGCCCAGGGTGAGTGCTCCAAAATCGTTCATCATTCGAGCCCACATTTATTTTTATTAGGCCATTACACTTTTACGACAATTATGCATCTCCGTTCACCAAAAATCCACTCTTCACTATATATATAGGAAAACCAAACCATATGCTCTTTTTACATTTTATTTTTATTTCACTTGGTCCATAACATTGTATTTCTGGTTACTTCTTGAGCTGCTCATGCCACAGTCTGAAGCAGGGTTCCTGGCACAGACCTGGTTTGTCCGGACATGAGTTGCACATGAACTTGCTAAACTGTAGCATTCCGCCTTTGTGACAGTGGCGGCAGTTCTTTCGAGCCGGCTTTCCATTCTGCAGGATGACCACGGGCTCGTGCCGCACGGCCGTCACCTTGGGCTCGGCCACAACCTTGTCCTTCACCTTTTCTTGTTTGTCAGCCTTCCGGGGATTGACTGTCACAGACTCGCTGATCACTTCCTCCCTTAGCAGCGACTTGATTATGATCACCCGAAACTCCGAATAACTTTTAAGTTGTCCTCCTCGCGGGTTCTGGCCATTGGCCAAGTATAACAAATAGGCATTGTACACGAGGATGTTTAGCAGAAAGATGGCCAGTTTCTTCTCCGCCGGGAGCTCCTGGCATGCTGGTTGGTAGTGGATCAGGTGCTGCCGACTCTCGTTGCTAGGTCGCAGTTGCCAGTCCAATTCCTGAATCAATTTGGGTCTGGCGTTCGTCTTTTGTATGGATAGCTCCCTGGCATAAATGGCCAAACAGTCAGAGCTGAAGAAGTAAAAGCTCTTTGCGCATCGCCTCCACTTGGCCATCATCAGGGACGTGGTATAGCTGGTAGAGATACTGTTCGAATCCAACTGCTGGTGCACCAGCGCCTTGCTATTGCCATATCTATTCCTGTCCAGCATTCCAGTGCAATAAGTGCTCCTCTTGGCCAATTCATGAGCCAGGCCATAGCTGCCATAGAACTTTGAAACGTACACAGTGCGTCCTCCTTGGAAGTCCTCCATTAGCTTTAGAGCCAACTCGTTTCGGTGCTTCACCAACTGCCGGGAATTGCGCACCCAAGCCTGTGCATCCTCTTGTCTCACAATCTCCGGTAGAAGCTTCACCACCAGCCCACTCTGCTCGGTTAGCATGTGCAGCAGCAGAGAGTTGGTGCGAAATTTGTTGGGCAGATCATCCTGGTAGCTGAATCTCCCCTTCCATAATGTAATGGGTTCGTTAAGATTTAGTTGCTGGCCACAAAAGTATATCTCCGCCATGCGCTCGTTGATAAATGTTAGGAGTGGAAAGTCCTTCGGGTTGTTCTTGCCTGTTTGTGGCTGCAGTGCGTCGAAGTTCAGACACTGCAGCAGCTGCTGATATCGATCCAGGGGCATCTTTCCGGTGAAACCCATGAAACCGTAGAACATGTTGGTGCTCCAGTAGTCCGAGAGATGTTCTAGCCTTAGATCACTCATAAGCAGGGAGAGGGCCACAAAGATTTCCATTTCCTCGGCATTTGTGGGCTGTGATTTGGCTGCTCCTCCCTTTATGTTGCAGCTTTGGGCCAGGGAACTGAAGAATCGGGAGCGATTGCCCAGCAACTGGTTGAAGTAGTGCATAGGACACTGGAAGCGTTTGGCGAATTTCAGGCCAGTTGGGTTGGGAACGGGGAATTTGAATAGCAATCTGGAGCTCGTCTGCTGGCTGCTCCAATCAGGGTCGTAGTCGTCCGGTTCATCTGGTTATTTTATGGCGGGCAAAGGGCATTATGTAAGCAGGGAAGCGACAAGGGGGTGAGGAAGCCACTTACCCTGGCAGAAGACATCAGCCGCTTGGTAGTTAAGCTCCGAATAGCCATCCTCGTCAGAATCGCTCTCTTGGTGATCCAATTCCGAGCGACTCACGCTAGGGGCCACCTGCTGCTCCACTGCCAACTGCAGTTGGAGCTCAGTGAGATCCGGTTTGATGTCCGCGGTGCTTAAATCGTAATCCGCCAATGCCGGATAGCCGTCCAGAGGCTCCGTTTTGATGTCCACGCTGCGCCGCTTTACCGGCGACCGGTGCTCATCCTGGCGCGGCTTCAGCTGCTGCTTGCGCTTTCTCCCGGAGCTGGACATTTCGCCTGACTTTCTTTTTCCTTTCAAAACGTTGTAAACAGTGGAAATTTCTGCCACAGCAACGCGTGTTTTTTTCGACCCCTATGTTTCTCGCTCTCTCTTGCTCTAGTCACATGTGCTGTATTGTGTGCTCTTTCGCACCTCCTCGATTCGTTTGTTGCGCGGGCTGCAGCGGCGTTGCCACCTGGATGCAATGTTAACTCTCTGAAATTGGTGGGCAATTTGAAATGTTAAATGCAGGGCGCGCCAGTAAATTTATATTTTTGCCTGAGTTTTATATGTAAAAAAAAATTATTTTTGCAATTATTTAATCCTGCTATTTATTTAATGCATCTTTTTACCTACCTTATTGCAGGAGGCCAGTGGTTCGGCGTGGACATCACCAAGGAGGACATCTCGGACAACTACGAGCAGTGCGTGTGGGAGCCGTCGATCATCAAGATCAACGCCCTGACTGCGGCCGCCGAGGCAGCCTGTATGATCCTTTCCGTTGACGAGACAATAAAGAGCCCCAAGGCCGGTGAAGCACCGATGGCGGGGGCTGGCGGCATGGGCATGGGCCGCGGCATGGGCAGGCCCATGTAAATAGAATCATTCAGAATCCAGAGAACTCCACACCCCCTAATCACCAACACTCACATGCATTTTTCTCTTAATTTAACACGTACACGTATTACTCGGTCATACCTTCGCATTTCGCACGCTTCGAAGCTAGAACAACAATAATCCACTGACCTATCTGTATATGTTTAATAATAAAAACAAAACTGAAAACATATTTTCATAACATAATATAAACGTTTGAAATTTAAATTCGGGGGGACATGGCAACTCTTTACGGAGTGCTGTTAACTGGCTGTAAAGCGGGTGTTGTGCTGTTAGGCGCGAGCAATGTTTAATTGTTGATCCGTCCCGTAAACAAATAACAAATAATGGGTAATCACAAGGTTCTTCGATCGGCGGGCAGCAATCTGCGTTATTCTATGTACGAGTTTATAGAGGCGGTACACAAGCGCTCAATTATATGGGAAAGAAGGCATCCGAACTTCCACAACCGGGAACTGAGGGATCAGGCCTGGCAGCAAATTGGCCAGGAGCTGTGCGCAAATTTCGAGGGCTCCAGTGAGCCGGAGAAACAGGAAATCGGTGGGTTCTGGTTTGGTTATTACAATCTTCATATTCCCTAATGTGCATACCTTTTCATACCAGTCAAAACCTTGCTGAAACGCTGGAAAAACACTAGGGACAGCTATTTGCGGGTAAACAGGTTGCGACAAAGTGGCGAGGAGGTGGCCAGAGCTTCTTATATCTACGAAAAGGAGCTGAGTTTCCTGCTGGATGTGAAAGCAGAGACGGAAGACGATGAAGAGCCCTTAAAGGAGGATCCTAAACCCCTGGTCAAACGGAAACGCCTGCATGCCGGCCAGAAATCTACCAGAACTTCAAAACGGAGGAACTCCGGTCAGGAAACGAGTCTAGAGCCCGCCACCATTCCGGATAACTTTCACTCGGTTCTGGAAGATGTGAGCTACACAAGGGAGGATACTGTGCCACCGGAGATCGCTCCAATCCCCCACATTCCTGCAGATCCTCCATGTAGTACAAATACCGCCCCCACATCCACATCCGCATCCGCTGATCCCGATCAGGCATTCTTCGATACCATCAAGCCGCATATGCAACGTATGTGCGCCGATCGCAAGCTCGACTTTCAGATCGAAGTCTTGAAAATACTACGTAATTTTAAGCCAAACTGAATAATAACTATAAATGTTAAATCATGTATTTGGCTTTGCTTTTGTACAGCGGATATAAAGGGTGGCCCACAAAAGATTTGCGTTTTAATCGCTAAAAAAAACAACGAGTATATATTTTTCAACATTTTTTTTTTTATTGGAATCCTTAACATTGCGGAGGTCTTTGGTTAAAATCCGTTGCAGGGTTGTGCGCGAAATGTTCAACTCTTGAGCACGGTGCCGAGTTGACGTCGACGGATTGTCATTGACACTTTCGGCCACCGCAGCGATATTATCGACCGACCGAACTGGACGAGCACGTAAACGTGTTGTTTTATCCATCAAGGATCCAGTCTCACGCACACGCTTCACAAAACTATCCACAAACTGCCTGGAAGGCGCATTCTTTTTTCCGAATTTCGACCGCAATTTTCTTGCAGTTTCGGTTGAAGACTCTCCACTTTGGAAGAATATTTTCAATATTTCCCACTTTTCTTCGAGCGTAAACTTAACCATTTTGTAAACCGCAAACCTTCTATTAAATATCTGACACATGGACAATATTATTCGAAATGTTAAAGTCAAAATTATCGATAGTTAAAAGCAAACGCTAGAAGGGCCACCCTGTAATCGTAATCGCTTATCGGTTTGTTACTTAAGGCGCGAATTTTAAAAATATGTGGCCCGTTACGTACCGAATGCATTCGTTTTTTGACGAATTTGTTTAATTTTTGTGAAATGAAATGCTGAATATCAGTAAATCAGTAAATACGTTAGTTGTATTGGGTCACACTGCAATTGATTTATTTTTTCATAGTTTAATTTCTGCAATGCTATATTTGGTATTTATCATAATACAATTACAAGTACATTTTTTGGTGCTTTAATATTTTAAAATAAATTCAGATTACAAAATAAGAAACCTTTAGCTGCAAATAAAATTGGGTAGTTTTAACACAACTAGATTTTTACGCTTCGGACAATAAAACAAAATTACAAAATGATTTCATGTTTTTAAGTTTTGGGTCTACAACAAAAGTTTTCAGAAAAATGCAAGTACATGCAATTACATATGTATTTGTGTTAATTTATATTCCTGAAAAAATCTTTTGTTCTGCTAATTTCCATTATTCTACCCTAGAATAATCCCTTCATTGGCCCGGATCTGGCTTCAATACATATTTTTAGCCTGCAGCGAAATTTTAGTATAAACATAAACTGTCAAAAAGATACATAAGCCATCGCATGGCCTCTGGTCCAAAGCGGTTCGACCAGTTTCGGTTGATGTTGATAAAAAAGAGCTTAAACCTGTATTTATATAGCTGGTCCCTCTTATGCCAATCGAGTTTCCATTATGTGTACAGATTTCTTCATGCTTTTTGCTCAACACAAAGGCAAATTTATTTCACTTATGGATTGTACGAGTGTATTTATGAGTCGACACTTCAGACGACACCCCTAAAAAAAAGAAATCGGTGAAAACCGTTAAGGAAGCCGTAAGGGTAACTCTGAGATTTCGGTTCGGTGTCGTATTTCAAGCGTTCCACTCTGTTGGAAGTTCCCGGGGAACCTCCTATGGGGGTATGAAGTCGTTACCCCGAAAACCCGCCCCCATACTCCTCACGACAAATGTTGCTTGTACTTTTGATGATTTTCCCTCAAAGTCCCCCATCCACTTCCCACTTAACTGCATATGGTTGGTGTTGGTAGTGGTTGTTTCGGGTTTCGGAAACTACGGTCTGCGATCGGGACCCTACCCTCCACTTCACCCATTAGCAACGGCTCTGGCAGCTGTTGTTCGCCATTAAATGCTCCCTTAGATCCTCGGATCCGACTACCTGCTTCTTCTGAATGGGAGATCGGGCAACTGACTGCACTTGGAAAAACAAGACAACGAAAGCTGATATTTTGTTGACTTTATTTTACTAACAATTCTTGAGTGATGTTTAATGTTTCAAGCGACTGCTTTTTAAAAAGAACTGTTCAAGTAGATCGATTAGATTCCAATTTAAATGTGTCTTTGCAGATTAGAACTCACATTCTATTATTTTACAAAAATATTTATTGTTTTTATATGATGGTTTCAAAGTGCCAGTAATTCATTTAAAACAAAAAACAATAATTTACAAAAACTTTTAAAAGCAAAGCAAATTATACCATTAATTATCCTGAAAACAATTTCTTAGAATAGAAATAATATTCTCAGTTCTTATGGACTGTTTTTTCCTCCAGTGTATTTAGGCATTCCCAGCGTGTGTAACGTATTTTCCAACCTTAACGAACCCGGGCACCGAAGGAGATTTAGGTCTGCTACCCTTAGCATTCTCCCCCTGGCATACCTGTAGCAATTCTGGGCATTGCAGTGAAACAGAATAATAGACAGGAAGTCCCTTCGATGGATTTTATTCCTTTGAAGAGGGATGCCGCCCCAGATGATGGTGCAGCGATTGTCTCTTCCAATGATGCTGGCCTCTGTTATGCGCTATCTTAAAACTACATATATTCCTAAGAGCTCTTGGTAAATGGGCTCAACATCAGGTGGAGTTATCCAGGAGAACCACCTGCGTGTTTTGGTACCTCTGCCAGGCACTCTCCGCCCGATCCAAATACAGTCCGATCTCCCGTCGCTTCTTGGGCAGATCGTATTTCTCGAGGGCTAGCTTCAGAAGTACGTACTCGAGGCTTCGGATACCTCCCAGATTGTTGGGATCCCTTAGGTTATCCACCAGGGTGACGAACTTCCTGAGCAGTTCAACCAGCTGCCCAAAGTTGGTCAAATTATCTAGGGTAGCATCCACATCGTTGACATAGCGCATACTCTGTTTGATTCGCCTGGCCAGATCGGTACTCCTGCCAGCCAAGGGTGATAGCTCCGTGTTTAGCTGTTGCACCAATCTACGTGTATCGATCACCTTTACCAGGGTGGCTTGATTATAGTGATCCTGATCTGTCCACTGGCTCATCGAAGACTTCGTAGTCGTTTCTTCGTTGTCTACCATTGAAATCTGATTGTTATCCACTATAATGGTCTTGTCGATTATGTCAGACGAGTTGGGTGGCTGCTTCACATGGAAATCCAACGAGAAGTGGAACTGCACGTTAGCCTGCGGGGATCAGAGATAGGTTAGGAAATCTCTGAAATAATTTCATCATCCTCAAATACATGCCTGGACTAAAGCAATTGTTCCTAGGACAATCAAAATAGTCGTAGAGAACCACATCTTGCCGGCGAACTGGGATTTGTTTGACTGATCCCAAGCCGAGATCTAGCGATCACACCACTCCAGACGATCCACGCTCGTCATCTCGAGGCTTATCTAGCCGCGGGGTTATCACTTCGTTCCCACTTGACCGATAACAGATCCATTCAGTCAGTTTTCTAGCAATAGGGGAGCCCTCGGAGGGGAGACAATTTTCCGTTGCCAGACAAAGCGCAAGTCACGTGGTCGCTGAGATGAAAAGTGAATACAGCGAGGTGAGCGATTGCCAACTTAAAATTATTTCAAGGTTCTAAGCACCAAGGTAAATTTAAAATTTGCTAAGCCGTTTGCTTCTAATATGACCTTTCTGACAATTTTTAAGTTCTTTGAACCAAGCAATGAACTTAAAAATCTAAACTAAAATAAAATATGAACATTCATTAAACAAAATTGGCTTGTGTTGGATTTCACGTAATACCCAATGGTTGTTGTCAATAAGAACAAAATATACACATTTAAAAAAAAATTTGAATTGTGGTTAATTTTATTTTAATTAATAATAATAACTATTATTCAAAAACCCATAAAAAGTAAGAATTTCTGATCTGTTGTTTTGGCTTTTGACAAATTTGTTTCAGTCAAATTTGATGTTAATTTTAAATTTTCTTTTGAGTTCACTGTATTATGACTTAAGTATAGTCTATAAATATTAATTATAAAATGCAGTGGTAATTTTCCTGTGATCACCATGAATAAAAAAATGACTATCAAAAACGAAAGCTAATACCCAAGTGGAAGGCCGCAATCAATAGAACCATAAAGATAATACCACTTTATGAGTACCCAAATGGCATCAATGTATGTAAGTGTTTGGTGTCTGAACATTATTAAGATTAATTTGCGATTAGAAACAGACACAATCCGAAATTAATTCCCACATAAAATGGTTGACTACATATGTATTTACGTACATATATATTTAAAAGTGCTTTGAAATTCTGCCAACATTTAGCATATACTATTTATTAGTTTTGATTAGCTAAGACATTAAAATGTTCAGTGTAGATAGTCTGTTTACCAAATCGGTTCCCACGTGGAATGGCCATATGAATGCCACTGTAAAGTTTATAAATGTGATATAAAAGTTTGGATGTGGCATGGGCTTGGGTAACGCCATAACCCGCATGGTTATTTCGAGTCCGTGAATCATCCACCTTTTTTTTCGGGCACTCATTTCACAAAGCCATTTCCGTTACGAGTCTGGTCGAAATTTCCGACTCTCTCAAGGGTTAACATCTGCTCGATTGCTTCGCTTATCAAGCGTTTGAGGTAACAACAACCACTCATATCACTATTTTCTGTTTACGCGTGCAATAATAATTATATTGTACACAGAGCCACCACAGCGATAAGGTGCGAATCCTATCAGGTTCTGAATATATATACATACATATGTAGTATAGGTACCATTCTATAGTATAGTCGGATGTTTGTTTGTGCGAAAGTGTGCCTTAATTTAGAAAATGGTATCAAAGCAAAGCAGGGCAGTTCATGGAAGCCATGGCGATAGGGGCAGCTAAAGAAAAGCATAAAACAAATGCGACTACATACATACATACATACATATGTGGGAATCAATAGTAGAAATTGCGCAGCAAACTGAAATTATTCCATTGCCTGAAAATAACAAAAACAAATAAGAAGAAGAAAATAAAATAACCGTTGACACACACTCACATGATTGCCCCCCATACATATTTTACACAAGAAAAAAGAAATGGTTTAATTATAATTTAAATAAAGAAGAATAATTGTCGAGTTATGTATCTGACTGTCATATGATCGAATTGTGAAAAATGTTTTTCAATCAAACTCATAGTTTACCAGCTCTATAAAAAACACAAAATCTACACTTGTACCTGTGTCTAGAAGTAAATATTTTCGTTTTGTGTATTAAATTTATTTTTATATTTTGATTTTTTTTATTTTTCTTCAGCTTTTGCGTACTTTGCACGCTATATGTACATACATATGGGTGTACAGAAATACAAGGGGTTGGGGATTGTGGAGATAGGGGGCCAAGGGGTCGTCAGAGACCAACGCACAAAACTTGTAAATACGAACGCCCTCCATCTCCATCTCCCTCTCCGTCTCGCTCTATAAGTAACCCATCCCGCTCTGCAAACGCGTGTGGCGGCAACGTGAGTATTCGGATTCGGATGTGTGTGTATCTTACAGATACCAATTGCGTAGATACATCTACCAGGCCCAGTTCGAGACCAGTGCACGCAGTTTTTGTTTTCGATTTGCCCCGTCTCGTTTTGATACCCCGCATAACCCGTTTGAGAAGAGAGGGTATAATAGGATATCATCCCATTCGCTCCATATTCGATCATATTTTATAAAACAGTTTTTGACAGAATCGTATCTAAACAAAATGATATTTGTACTAATATACATAGTAATCATCAGAGTTGAATCTCAAATATTTATGACCAATTTGCAAAAAAATATTATGAGAAGTTGAAGTTATAAATGCTATAGTTTTATTTTGATCTCGGACAATATAATTTTAAGTAGCTGGTATTAAAAAATGAGACAACATAGTCCGGCATGTGCCATAAGAAATATATATAAAAACTGAAATATGTAAAACACATTGTGGGTTGAACTTGTTGAACCATAACCACTGTTCGTTACAACCTTTATGATTTATGTGGTAACTATTATACTTAATGCCAATAAAACTTGATTGACTTAAAATTATGTCGAGCAAGGGGAGGTAAATTGTAAATTATACTAACAAGATGATTCTCCACTTGAGTAAACTATGTTTAAATACCTGTCAAAGGGTATAGATATTTTCATAAAGTCACGTTTTAGATGATTTATAGACGTTTTTTCTTAGCTCTTAGTTTTTGATTTTATTTATACTTTTTGCTTTTTCAACAACAATGAAAACTCTCGCAATCGCAAATACAAGCGGACGTGAGAAAGCCCCCCGTACCGATCGGCCCCCTTTAAAATTCCACTATCGTCGTCGCCATTTATCGTTTGCAATTAGCTTAAGCAGAGCGCCATAAAAATAAAAGAGTAGCAACAGAAAGCAAAATAAAAACAAAATTGTTTACGCTTAAGTTTTGAGGGGGAGACATACAGACACCCATGCCTATATGGGTATACATATGTATATGATCGTCTATATGTATGTATCTCTCGGGGGTGGCCTGAAATCGTAAAAAAAAGACAACTGAAAATTAAAGAGTCTCAGCATAAAACGACATCAACGGGGGGAAAACGCTTTTAATGCTCAAATATGGACAACCAATACAGTTATGTTCTTGTATTCTTCAGACGTTTTTCAGTTCGATTGGGAGATACGAAGGTACATATGTATATAATTGAGTACGTACATATGTACATATATATGTACTTGGGACGTAGCGAAGCGGTAAACAACGACACCGAATTCAAAACCAAAGCCCATTGCCAACTTTGTGTGTTCGTAAATCCAGTTTTCTTTTGCGACATCGTTTATAAAGAAATCCCCAAGAGGCGAGGTAAAAAACAGACACATCAAATACAGAGAAAAATAAACACTTGGGTGCTGATTCACGTAAATATAAAATAGATTTGGGATTCAACAAAATGCGTTGTTTTTAAATATCTGAATAAAAAAGTTATATATTTTTAAATGAATAATAAAAATGTTTATATGTTGTCAAGTTACAGATAATTTGTTTCTCTGTAAAGCGGGAGGTGCGAGATGAGGTGATTCAAAGCACGTTTACCACTGGTCTTTTTCTTCGAGCAACCTCTAGAGAAATCCACCTAGATAATACTAGTTTATACCGCCAGTGAGTCATATTCGTGTTTTGCCCACTTACCTTAACTAAACTGATCACAAACCGCTCTCTCCACCGGCCTCCTTCTGGGATCCATAATTTTTGGGGGGTTCCATTGAAGATACAGACACACATCCATCCACATTTAAGTTTAACTTTTCTAATTTTTCAACCCAGCTCTTATTTTTTAAAAATACTGTCATTAACGATTTAAACTAATTTCTATTGGTTTTGAAATGCTTCGGCTATTCAAATTTCTCAATCTATTCGCCTAGTAATGGAAATTCATTACGTATCGCCGTTGACACACAAAACGAAGTGGTTGCCTTGACATTTTTTCTTAATCGGAAATTTAAATTAAAAAATACCTCTCCAAATTAAGCAATTATTAGTTAAAGTGTTTATCGCAATCTACTAAAAAAGTGTTGTTCGTGAACTATAAATCAATTTGGAATCAGATTTAAAAACAAATTTTAAAATAAGAGCTAGGCTGCCAAATTATTAATTTGGCATCTGCAATTTCGAGCTGGATAATTTGAATTGTGTCCGGATCACTTCGGGGGTTCCATTGAAAATATCTTTATCTCTTTGTTCACTTTTTAGGGGATTTGGGGAAGTGGATGGGGTGGGAATGGGATTTTGAGAATATATGACTGGTTGGGGTGCTTTTTGGGAGGGGATTTACACTTTGATTGTTTGATCATTAGGCAATTGTTGGGATCGCTTAGCTTTTAACTTGACTTTGATGCTTGCTGAGCTCTCTTGGTAAGATCTTATCGGTCTCATATCAATATATATTTACTTTTGTTACATTTGTGTATCTATTTTGTGTTGTGGTGTAGTAAAACCTTTAAACATTTATCGTTATCATGCTGACTGCTTGTGTAAGAATCTATAAAATGCTTAAATGTTGCGTATATAAATTTCCTCAACTCACAATGACAATTCGCACTTATCGCATAGTTGTTTTTAAGGATTTGCCGATCCGATTACGTTTACACAAATATTTAGTTGCCTATGCAGAACTAACATAGGAACATCAGGATATTCAGGACATTCACATCGAAACGGAATTGGAAATATTTTGTTTTGCCCTTCGGCTCTGTAAAGTTGCTTATCGTTTTATTTTAATTCGTATCTGTGTGTTTGTGAAATCGCTGCAAAATGCAGCTGCATTGCAAACATATATTCAACATTTGTAGTATATGCACATTTGCCTTTGTTTCGATCGCTTAGCTTAGCGCTTTTTGTTTATCAATTTTTACTGGATCTGGTTCTGTTTTTATTTCTCGCTTAGAAATCGTGCTGCAAATAAAAACATGTGAGAACTTGGGTAGTGGAATTTTTCGGAGCACATGTCCGCTTCTTCTGGAATGTGGAGGGGGGTGGGGCTACAATCTAGAGGATTTTGCCGATTAGCTCTGAAAATAAAATGCCAACAAAAAAATATACGTGATGACGCAAATAAAAACACAAATTTGAGGTTTTTTTTTTGTTAATTATACAAAGCTTCAATAAATTGCTTTACGAAAGCCGTGTACAATTGTTTATTTGTTTTTTTCTATTGTTTTGATGTTGGTTGGTTGGTTTTGTGGGTTTTTTCTTTCTATTTTTTCTCAAATATTAAAAGTTGACTTGGATTTAACACAATTCCAATATTGCTTTACAATTTTTCTCAGATTTTTTTTCACAATCGTTTCTATAATTACAATGTTGAATGGCGGTTTGTTCTTCATAATCGCATTCATCTTAATGGTCCATTTAAGGTAATTGTGTGGATAATTAATTAAACATTTTCTCTTCAGTTGTATTTGTTTTTAATTTGTATATATACCAGGTTTAAAAATATAGCAAAGTATCACAAAAAATTGCAAATTAAATTGTAAATTAGATCAATGGAGAAATTAAAAAAATACATAGTGCTTGGTTGCTTTCTTTTCATTGTTTTTAGAACGACGAATCATGTTTCGGCTTAAATAAGGAGGTTAAAATTAATATTCGAACTTGGTCGAATCGTCGTCGTTACGCTTTTATTTAATAAAAATGAATTTGAATTTTCTTTCAGGGGCCAATAATCCGCAGTTGCCTTGGATGGGGGCACAATCGCCTTGGACTCGCATGGAGAGCTCCGCGATCTTGTTTCGGGCTCCGAACTTTGAAATGGAAATTAATTTGTACTGATTGGTGTTGAAAAAGTCGGCGGGCCGGAACGGTTGTGCCCACAGTCCAAGGCAGAGCAGGCGAATTATGGCCCTGTTTTGGTCTGTTTTTAATTGTTTTTCTTTCTTCTTAACTTTTACAAATAGGCTTTTGTATCTTTCCTGCTTCAATGAAATCTAAGCTGTTCTCCGCGCTTAAATTGACGTCCAGTAAGTAACAAACGTTTAGCTTACACTTAAAAAAAATGCAAAATTCTGCGCGACAAGTTTAAAGTTTTTCTGTGGGGGTGTGTGTGTTTTATGGGGGGAAATGGGGGGTGAGCTTGGGGATTTTCCGAGCACTGCTCGATTGACCTTCGCTCCGTTCAATACTCTAAGTAGTGGGTATATGTATGGGGTGTACTTGTAGTGTAACTTGAAGATACAAGCTTTAAAGCTACCAATATATGACAACTTGCTCAGTAAACCTAAACAGTGCTTGACTTTTTTGGCTTTTCAACATTTTTAAAAACTATCATCGAGTGTTTTGTTATAGTTTCATCTCTCTCTCTTCATAATTTAGCTGTTTCAGGAAGTTAAACAATATGCGTAAACAAAACTCAAGTGTGTTCTTATTTCTGGGGTTTTCCTCTATCAATTACGTTTTGGGGTTCTTTTTGTTTTTGGCTTATCACTTCTGGGCCAATTCACTTGGCAAAAACACATAACAAAACTCACGCTGCCTCTTTCTACGCAAAATACAAATAACTTTGGATTGGTTGGGGAACGGGGATTGTGGGAGGGGGTGGTTTGCTTAAATAATTTACATACATATTAATATTAACAATTAATAAGTAATGCTAATAATGAAAATAAGGTACTGGGTTCAAGTGTTTCAATATTGAGCATCAACGAATAGTTTACATAAAGTAGTTTTCATTTCTTCATCCTCATCTTGCGATATCTATATCTTTTCCTCTTGTAAAGCCTTCGCTTTGAAGATTGCAACTTATATAGTTTTTAGTTGTTTTCACAATTGTTTCCGCTTGGCGCAAGATCAAACATATTTTGGAATAAATAAAATCTTGCTTGCGCCGATATCGCGCTACCACATTTTACAAGTGCTGATCGATCTTATTCTTATTGTTTATCGATTTATCGTTTTTAGAAAATTTTATTTTAACATTTTAGCGTTGTTCCCTTCTATGTACAATTCAAGAATGTTTAAATTAGAATTTTTTTAAAGCCATTTCGCAATTACAGATTAAGAATAATTACACATGTTCGCATATGTAGCTCAGTATTTTTGGGCAATTGCTTCTCTCGCGCGACGTAAAACTAAAAGTAATGGAAGTATCTAGGTAGGTCAAAATTACAATACAATAGTGGATTCATTTATCTTAAGGTAGAGGAGAGTTATAGATGTTGTTTTTAGGCAAGTTGAATGCATTTTGCGCTGCGGCTCTGCTGCTGCTCTGCTGCGGCGGCTGCGTTGAGTTTTTGTCGTTGAGTTTTTGTTTGAATTAGTCTTTGTGATTTGGTGGGTATACGATTTATAGTAGTTGTATTATTATTATTATTTATTAGGTATTATCGTGTCTCTTGAATATACTCTGTTAGCTTTTGCTGCCCTCTGCATTAATTCTTTATCAACATTTAAGGTACGTTGCACATTTTGTCCGCTTTTCGGGGGATAAACATAAACTGTACGTTATGCTGCGCTTCTAGCGTCCATTTTTGAATTACTCATAAATATTATTATATTTATAATTTTACTTATTAATTAATTTTCAAGTCTATTTGCGTATCACGTTTAAAACAATGTTCAGTTGTGAAGTATCCGTTGTTAGACATATAAAGTTCTCCTTCCTCTTCTCGACTCTTCCTCCTTTGTCCTCGTTCCATCTGGTTTTCGTATATTTTAGCCAGGCTTCCATTGGTTGTTGTACTGGTTGCAGTTTGTCGATTGGCTTTCTCTATAAAGGTTGCGCATTGAAGTTGACAGTGGTGGAGTTTAAGGGGGTTCTATATAGCGGGGAATTTTGCATCTTTTTTGCTGTGTGTTTATTTGTTCTCTTTGTCGTTGTTGATGTTGTTTTATCGGTCGGTTGTGTGAGGACAGTTGTTTGTGTATTTGTATTTTGTTTACTTTCAGTTTTCCTTGAAACAGTTTTTCGCTTTTCTTTTATAGCTTCTCAAATTGGTTTTATTGTTTCATGATACACACTTGAGATCACAAACATTACTCTTGTATTTTTTTTTTGTTTAAAAAAGTTCAATTTTTCAGTTGAAATGTTTTCGTTTTTTTTAAAGGTTTTTTCATTTTGCATTTTTTCTTTTATCTTTTTGTTAATTTTTTTTGTTTGTTTTATATTCATTTCGATTTTTTTGCAACTCATTGACGGGTTCGGGGTCCACCGGGTGTTCAGGCCATTCAAGTCGGTCCTCCGGATCCATCTTCAGATCCAGCTCTAGATCCAGATCCAGCTCCAGATCCTGTTCCTGCTTCTGTGCACCAGACACTGATCCTCCAGCACCAGGGGTGTTACGACTGCACATTGAGCAGCAGCTTCAGGTTGTGCGTGTCGAAGTCATCGAGGAGGTTCCGCTTGGAGCGGCCCGTCTGCATGGGCACCTGGAACTTGGGCATTGACGACATTGCCAGGGGATACTTCCCCTCTGACATGGAAAGCGTCCAGTGCTGGGGCGGCTTGGGCAGCGCTGTTGGAGCAGGTGCATCGAAGCACTTGCTGCCCGCGAAATGCGTCAGTGCGGTGGGTATGAGTGGGTGCTGCTGCTGCTGCATCTGCATCTGCTGGGGCGAAATCTTTCCACCCAGCGGCGGGCTCTTTCTCTGCTTGCGAGCCGATCCTCCTCCGATTCCCGGCGAGAAGCCTCCACCCAAAATGGTGGCCGGTGACTGCCGCACTTGCATCGCTCCCTGGGGCGAACGTCCTCCTCCGTTCCGCCGGTTGTTGTTGGCAAAGAAGAAGCCTCCGCCTCCAGAGGATCCCTGCTGCTGCGGCGACTGGCGCTGCTGCTGCTGCTGTTGATGCTTGCCCTTGGATCCGGTGGACTGGGACTGAGACTGGAGTTGCCTCTGCCTCTGGTTAGGGGGCGTGGTCAGGGAGGATAGACCCAGGCCTTGATTCGTGGGCGAGAAGCTCAGGAAATGGGCATTATTTGTACTGCTGGCAATACTGTTGGAATGTGCAGTTACCAAGGGCGTTGCTGGTGCGGATGCGGATGTGGGGGACACGGGTGCGGATGTGGGCGAGGGGGTGGATGAGTTGGATGCGGAGGTCGCTGATGCTGCTCCCTTTTTTAATCGTATGGACTTGGTGGCCGATGCGGTTGTCATTCTGATGTTGTTCCTAACGCTATTGTGCGAGTATGTCATAGTAATTTCGTCGCTTTCCGATCTCTGGATCTCTCTTCTCTTCTCGATCACTCTCCTCCTCTTATTAAAATTTCTGCTTTTTTGCCTTTTTGTTTTTGGTTATTTCGCTAAATTAATGCTTAACGTTAAATATCACACGCACTTAAATCAATTCTTTATAAATCGAAACCATACTCCTTCTGCTGCTATTGAGATGTTGTTCTAGCTGCGGCCGCTCTGTTTTCTTTGGTTGCTGATAATCAAATCGCCGAAGATGCCCTCCTCCAAAACAATAATGAAATCGGCGAGCAAAAGGGCGACGGGCGGCTGAGCACGTAGCTGCTTTTCCACTCCTAGGGTCTCGCTCTTATGTACAGCTGCTGTTTCCTTTACTTTATTTAGTTTAACTTGTAACTTTATGTATTGTTTATCAGTCTGTTGATTTATCTCTTTTACTCTGGTTAAGCTATCCTTAGCTATAATTTCGCAAACTCTTCTCGGTTCTCCGCTGATTCAACTGCTGCTGTTGCATTCCAAGCTGTGCTGATCCTGTTTTTATTGGAAGAAATTGAGAAAAGCAAAAGAAACCATTGAGCAATTGATGAAAGGCATTTGGAAATAGTGTATAGAGATGCGGTCAAAGTAATAACACTGCTAAAGCCAATGTCTTTGAATCTACAAAAACCTTCCTCCCACCAAAGTACAACTTTCATGATTAGAACATTATATACTAAAAAAAAGTTTATGGAAACTATTGTCCCCTTAAGTGTGTTAAAAAAAGTTTTTTTTAGTTCCATTAAATTAAATTAAAAAAGTATTTAAGAACATTGTTCGTGACACAACGCCAGTCAAAGGTGACTTGAAAATATTAAATTTCCCATTCCCTTTAGGGTCGTATTTTTCCCTTCACCGAACTGCAGCATATAGAAATAGGCCCTAGGATGGACAATCATTTTTGAGAACGGCCTTTGAATAAATTAAGAAGTCAAATTATTCAGTTAAAGAAAATGTACCCTTGTTGATAGAAAACTGTATTATGCGTCGTTAAATTTTATAAAAAAGGGTTAAAAATTCCATTATATAAATCTCCACCAATTGATTTGTGGAACAAAAAGTAAATTAAAGCTATACCTTTTTGAATAACTGCAGCATAGGAATACAGGTAAAACATGAAGCCATTGAAAACGAAATCTAACAAAGTAACTGTCAGTACAGGGTACACATTTTGCAAGAAAAACCTTTTGAAACCAACAACAAAAGAAGCCTAGCAGTTCTATTATGCTGACTGCATCTGTATGTATAATAAGAAACGGGAAAACCGAAAAGGGGAAATAAGACATGGACATGTAACGACTCGGTTTCCAGGTAGCAACAACCTGTAACGTAGTGCTAACGACGTAACGGCTGCATTATCGTGCCTGTGTGTGCTATTTACGTCAACAAAAGGTATTTGTTTAGCTATTCTCACAATCTGGGTACGTCAGAGGGACATATATACACACAATTTGCGAGAATACCTGAATTAATGAATCAACACACACACGCAGCGATAACCAACACAATTGCGACTTACTTTTTTGCCGTAGACCTTCTCACACCAACGAGTGTGCGTGTGTGTGTGTCGCAGTTTTCTCAGCCACTTCGTTATACAGATTCCGATATTTCGACAAGCGTTATATACAAAATGGGTTGAGTTTTGGTTAAAAGTTGCCTTGATTTTGTTGATTCACTTTAAAATGTTGCGGAAATTGGTTGGTTTGCGTTTTTTCTTGCTTTTTCGGACTTTAGATGGGGTTTACTATGTGTATGTGTTCGCAGTTGTGTATATATATATGTGTGTGTGTGTATTGTAAAATCACTTTCAAAATGGCGACGGGCTGGCTTCGTATTTTTATTTATATATAGATGTAATTCCGCTTAAAGCTTTCTCTTCACTTACAGACAAAGGCTCAAAAAAATCACACTTTCAACTGATTCTGATTCGGATTTTGTTAAAACTCTTATGTACACCACCGTCTATTGCGCAGCGTTATTTCGATTTTCCGTTATTTTCGCTCGCCAAGTACTCCGTTCTGTGTGCGTAGCCACTCGTTGTACTCCGACGCGTATTAAAATATTAAACTTTACACAAATATTTGATTTATATCACTTAACTTAGGACATTTACAATATGCGTTACATATATTTTATTTTTGTAGCAGAAATTTTAATCGATATCTATCTTCTTCGCTTATTTTTATTCTTTGCGCATCGGTACGCTATCCTCGAATTTTCCACCATGACTCACACATACACACTACCGCGCGGGCTTATATACCCCTGATCTTAGGGATGGACGAGCATCGATGTTCACAATATCGATTACTTATCGGTGATATCGATGAGTACTGTTAACAAACGCACTTTAATAATAACACTGCGCTGTGGGCCAGAAAGCTAGTTTTTGGCCTGCATAGCTAATGGCTAAAAAATTTGTAAGTCTTACATTTTTTCTTGTCCCAAATTCATGCCCGTTGGGTCAGTGTGCACTGTAACTAAAAGAAACAGCTGATTATTGAGTCGAGAATATCAGAGACTTGAACCCACGTTCTAACAGAAATGTTAAGTGCCAACGGTTTAATAACGGAAATGTTAAATTTTTTAAGAGTTTTAAAAATAGTAATGTATAAATGCCTGTATATATTTAAAAGATTTATCTAAAAAAGTCGAATAAATTGGCTCAAATTGTCTGGCGCTTGTGTGTATATATATTTTTAACGACACTTTAAATAACAAAAGGCTTTCTTTCAGTCTATAATTGCCTAAATATTAAAAAAGATTTGGCTACCTGATATAGATTTCTACCTACCAGAGTTGTCACATCTGCTGGTTTGAAAATCCTGAGTGCGCGCCAAATTTGAAATGGGTAATAAACCAACAGCTGCTGCTTATCATTATTTGAGTACCTCTTGGAAAACCATAAGCTCTAAATCAATTAGTTTTAAAGACTCTTTTTTTATCATTTTGGATGGGTTGGGGTTTTCAATTTGTAATTTTATATTATTTATATATTTTCAAAATATGTATCTGATGTTCAACGTTTTATTCTTAAACGAATTAAATTATTAACAGAATTAAGTTCTAAAACGCACACTCTGTCAACTTGTGATAATGCCGAGTACAAAATAATTAAAAGTAACAAAAGAGGTAAGCGCAAACTGAAAATATATTTGATCCGCAGATACATCACGTTCTTTTCAGAGGCACGTCTGCAATTGAAAATTGAGTCATTCAAATGCGGAATTGAGCTAATTAAAGTTTGTCAACATCCCCATTTTGGGGATATCTTAATTTTAATGGCTCAAAATGAATTCAACGCCTTTACAATTTTGTTGTCATAGGTTAAAGTTGCATCACGGTTACACAATCTTTAAAGCACAGAGAAAAAATATCACCTTTAATTTACACGATTTTAAGGGAATATGCCTTAAACATTGCAATTTAAAATCAAATATTAAGTATTGGCTAGAGGCGTGTCTGTATATTTACAAAGGACTTAGGGGCTGTTTCTCACAACAACTATCTAACATTAAAATCAATCATAAAAAGCTTGTGTTGTAAGTTAAGATAGTAATCTTTACTATAGTTTTCTAAATTAGTTTCTGTGCTGGTAAATGGTCCCATGGTTTTACATTACAGATTTGTCAGGATGTAATCGTGGGACGCCCCGCAAATTGGATAAATAAAATAAAGTAAAATTATGAGAACCGCTTTCAACCGGCGACGCGTGTCACTCAAACACCGCCCATGCTCAGATCCAGCCTGATCAAACCCATTATCTATCCAAATTGCTGTCCGGCGGAGGCACTGCCTCCACAGCATCATCATTATCATCTCGTTGACCCGCCATTGTTATCCCGCTGGCTTGGTACTCATATAAACAAGTGCACTTTATGTTTACTTGGTTGTTTTTAATACACATCAATCGGCGATTGTGTGGGTTGAGGTGAGCTCTACGATTCCTATCATCATACATATGTATATATACATATATGTGTCGTTGGTCCATCTATTTATTCTGTATCAGTATCTGTGCTGGTTTTCTATTGTTCATGAGCCGCGTTTCGTATATAAAGGTGATCAATCTCGTAGTCTAAAATTCAGTTCACTTCTAACGCGACTCGAAGCCGGTTTTTGCGAAAGTCAAACAGATTTTATTCCATTTGTGATTTCGTGGAAATTTCGTTTGTTATTCAAAATGCGTTTCGCTCTGTTTGCTTTTCTAGGTAAATACCCCTTTACGATTTATCACCTATATAAAATATAAAGGGTGTAATAGAGGGATCGAAAAAAACGAACAAGTCAGCAATTAAAATATAATCTTGTATAGAAAAGATTTTTATAATAAAAATAATATTGTTTACTTTGGTAAATTGTTTACTTTGATAACAATAAATGTATATTTTTTGAGTCTCAATAATCTCACCGTCATAATTATACAAAGCACTCCGAAAATATTTAATTGCTTCTAATATATGTATTTGTGATGTAACTTTGGTTTCCTTAAATTTTCTAAATGATTCCAAATTCAAAGTAAAATGGATTAAGTTTTCAAGTTAAAATCGATTTTACAATTTAGACCGTTAAAATCAAACAATTGTCTTTCGCTGTAAAATTAAACTTGAATAACTTATTCAGCTGTGTGCCTGTTGGCATTCGTCCTGGCCACTCCGGCCAAGGACACCAAGAAGCCGGCAACTTGTCAGCGAGCCTGCGGTGAAGTCTACGATCCGGTTTGTGCCAAAGCCAAGAACAGCAGCAAGGAGCGACTTATCACTTTCGGCAGCCCGTGCGTCATGTCCAACTACAACTGCCAGCACGCCGACGATCGTAAGATATCCTTCTTCTTATCCTTGAAGAAATTAATTCTATTTAATCAATTTATAGCATTCGAGCAGAAGACAAAGGGCGAGTGCGGCGGCGGAGTGAGCGTTCGTCTATCTTAAGAACCAAAACAATCCACAATCGATTTGTATTTACAATTGAACACCTTTCATTAATGGTGCAATAAAATTTGTATGTATTTTTATTCCAACGGGAACGTTTTATTTCTCTTCGAAGCAAGCTTATATTTTGCATAACAGAACAGAAAATTTAATTAGCTCTTGGGACTACATAGAATTCCCCTTAAATATTCGCACTTGGACATGCATTCATACAAGATCAGTTCCAGCTATCCGTCAGAATCAATGAATGTCGAATTCTATACTTCCTAAGCACTTATCAGCAGTCACTCGGCCAATCTGCAATCAGAGTCAACACATTAATCAGTTGGCACGAGTGGTTAAAGTGCAGTAGAAGTGGGTTAAGAGAAAACAAATTAATGCAATTAAATTATCAACATAAAGAGCAACAAGTCTTGAACACCTAGTGATTTCAGAATTATTTTAAGGTTCATAACAACTGGATATGTGTATAAACAGCATTATTTAAAGTTTTTTAGAAAAATAAATCTGAAATAACTTTTGAATTGGCAAACAATGATCCATTCAATTGCATATAGATCAGAATCTAAGCTAGAGTTTAAATTAGTAGCTCGAAGAACAGAGTTACTAAGTAAGTATTAGTTTCTCTTAACCAATATTCACTGTATATCATCCACTTGACTCACCACTCTCAGAGCTCTAGCGAATAATTGCATACTACGACCTAATGCCAAGTATCTATATAGTATTGGTATTGTATTGTATTGTAGATTACTTATAGTTGCTTTTTAGTAGTTGTTCAGAGATACGCTCCACTACATTCACAGATTCCGTTCTACCCCTCAGTTGGCCACCTCCTTCTTCTGCTGCTTGACCTTGTAGTCCGCTAGGGCGGCCTTGATGGCATCTTCGGCCAGCATGGAGCAGTGCAGCTTGACGGGAGGCAAGCGCAACTCCTTGGCGATGTCAGTGTTCTTTAGTTTGCCGGCCTCATCGATGGACTTTCCCTTCACCCACTCGGTGGCCAAGGAACTGCTGGCGATGGCCGACCCACAGCCGAAGGTCTTGAACTTGGCATCCACAATCTTGCCATTCTCGTCCACCTTGATCTGCAGTTTCATCACATCGCCGCAGGCGGGTGCTCCAACGAGACCAGTGCCGACTGTGACATCCTTCTTGTCCAGCGATCCCACGTTGCGGGGTTTTCGTAGTGTTCAACGACCTGTCAACAGAAATCGGTTAGTCAGTCGGGGGTTTCACATAATCTCCCTTATCGCTTTGCGTGCCGCCTGAAACGCTGTCTATCAGAACGACAACAAAGTCGGATCTAATCTACATTATATAGCTTCTAGATATTACGAAAGAACTTTCCGCGCGGCAATTGGGAAACTTACATTTTCGTGATACAATGCCACCGGCACGCTCTGCACACGCTTCAACTGCGATCGCAGCAACCGGGAGGAGTTTCGCACCAGAGACATCTTGAATCAGTAATTGTCACTCAAATAAATCAATAACCAGACCAATTGTTGTGAAATTCGAAGGGAACCGAAAATAACACGGACTACTGCGTGTTAAGAACAGCTGATGGAAAGTGTGGCAGTCTTGTGCTGATGTGAAAACCTAAAAATATTGATGCCGATATTTGTTTACCCACTTATGTCAGGTCCGATATAAATAAATTCTTTTCTTAGTTTTATAATATTGAAAATTGATAAGAAAAAACGAAAAATTATACAAAAAATTGCTTTACCTTGAAGATGGCACATTAGTTAAAAGGGTGAAAAAATGGTAAAATTCCAATTAGAATAACATTTAAGCTGCAAAGTGCAGTATGACCGTTTGGCTGGTATTTTGACGGTTTACATCTATGGTCGCACCCTAATCACCGAGTTCAATATTGTCCACTATTTTTGCCAACTTTCCTTAATTTTAACACCAGCTATGAGCTTCTGAAACATATTCCGTAGATCAATAAAATTCCCAACTAGCCATGACCTCACGCAAGCGAAGTGGAAGCGGCTCCACCAAGAGGCCCAAGGAGAAGGTTTGTCCAGAGGATTGGCGAACTTCGCCCTCGGTGATTCGTGAATTGCATAGCTAATTGGATCCATTGCAGGTGGTCTATATATACGAACTATTGTGCCGGGGCGAGGATCCTAGTAGCGAGAGTCCCGAGTTCTGGAACGAGTTCTTCCTGCTGCAGCCAAACTTCGAGGCACTGGAGAATGAGATAGGAAAGCTTAACAGCGATCAGCTGCAGCTTGTGAAGCCGAATCTGAACACCCTCTTCCAGAGGTGCATCGAAATGCTGGACACGGGTAGACCAGTTAGACCCAACATTACATATCGCAAGCCACCTATATTCCTTGATTCCCCCCAGAAGACCATCCCAAGCGCCTGTGCAACAGCCTGCAAACACTGTGCTCCTTTTTCTACGGGATTTTCAAGAAGTCCAATGCGGATCCCACGTTCAACATCCTCAACGAGATCTTCGGCCACGAGAAGATGGATGAGTGGCTGAAGCTGCTGATGCAGTACTGCAATCGAATCCTGCTGGGCGATGTGCCCGAGAATGCCCGCTTCATGTGCCTGAAACTGCTCCAGGTTCTGGTCACGGGTACGGATAATGTGAACCAGAACGCCCTTTTCGAGCACCTGATGATGCACAGCATGTTCGACGCCTTCGTCCGGCTTCTTAGCGATCCTACGTTTCGCACTCAGCACGGACATGATATTGTAATCCTGCTTACCATCCTGGTCAACTACCGTAAGCATGAGGCGACCAATCCCTATGTGGTGCAGCTTTCTATACTTGCCGATGAGCTGGCTCTAAATGGGTAAGTAGATCTACGGACATTTTTCATTAAGAAACAATATTTTTTCTGTATGACTTGACTATTTGTTCTCTCAAAGAACCATTTTCTTTACCGTATACCTTTGTAAACGGAAGACATTTTCACTTGGGTTTATCAAACATTAATACTTTCTAATTCATTGACTCACCAACTCTATATATGTGGCAACTAATGGTGGCTGACGTCATTAAATAGATAACTCGCCACGCGTTCTCTGATATCTTATTTCGATAGTAACAAAACTTTATCTTAATTTCAGATATGGCCAAATGATATCGCAGTCGCTCATTGACTTCTGCCGCCAGTACATCCAAAGCCTTAACAATGTGCAATCCTCGTCCTGGTTTTCATCGCTCTCGAATATTGTGGGGAACATGTTTGTGTCGGATGAAGGATGCGAACGAGTTCAGCAGATCAAGGCGAATAATGGGCTTCTGCTTGCGCTCTACGAGGCAGTGCACCTAAACCGAAACTTCATCACGACTCTGGCTCACACACAGGCGGAGTCCAGTGCCCCGCCCTCGCCCAGTAACACGTTGAGCCTGGCCCAACCCGTGCCGGACTTAACCAATACACCCATCATCGATATTACCCAGTATCCCACCAATCTGCTGGTGGCCGTCTTTCAATACTGCTCCATCGTGATGCAGGACAACAAAAACGAGTCGAGTATTGCTAACCTAAAGCTCTGCTTTCTCATCCTAACCTGTATTTCGGAGGATCAGTACGCCAACTCCATGATGCACGACAACAACCTCACGTTTAAGGTTATGCTGCATCGGGCGCAGATGCGTCATCGCAAGTTGAATGTGGATAGGGTTGGCAAATCCCAGCCTTTGGCTGCCACCCTACTGGATCTTCTAGTGGAGTTTATTGTGTCCCACTTAATGAAGAAGTTTCCAATGGAGCTGTATCTGCTTTGCATTGGTGTTATTCATCGAATTCTGTGTTATCAGAAGAGATGTCGAGTGCGCCTAAATTATCCATGGAAGGAGCTCTGGTCGGCACTGATTGGCCTGCTGCGGTTTTTGGTCAACCAGGAACAAACGCTGGTCAAGAAGTGCAACATATTCCATTTGTCGCTCCAGGTAGTGAATATATTCAATTTATTCATAACATACGGCGACACTTTCCTAGCCACCACGAACAGCTATGATGAGCTATACTACGAACTGAACCGCGAGGAGAAGGTCTTTACGGAAATACATGCAATGGGTAGGGGTTTTGGATAAAACGTTTTAAAAACCAAACTCATCATTTAAATTTCAGTTCTGCGCTACACAACGATGCCAGATTGCGAGTACAAAGAAGACGTAATAAAACTACTGAATTCTCTGGTTAATATATTGGCCATAGTAAAGCACTTCCAGAACAAGATCAAGGAATGGCTGGCTGAGCAGGGTCTATCCACGCCCACGGAGGAGCAAATACTCGATGTGGTGCGCAAGAACTACGACCTCACGCTGAAACTGCAGGACTCCCTAGATCAGTATGAACGTTACGCTGAAACGCCGCTGCACACCAACTTCTTCAAGTTGATGGTGCGCGATGTTGTCAACGATACTCGCAAGCACATCTACGGATATGTGAAGGAGGCTGTGTCCGTCATACCCGACCAAGAGGTGCTCCTCACCACGTCAATGACATCCGGTACGGCGGGAACAGCCAATGCGCCGACCCCGACGACAGCAGTGCCAGAAGCAAAAGCGTAGGAAGTGGACCTCGACAGACTATCAGACTGTTTAACTGTTTCTTTTGCTTAGTTTTGTAATTGTATTTTAAATAATCAAATCTCTAGAAGCGTAAACTCGATTTAATCTGTAAGACTTAAAGTGCTTTGCGAGTTTTTGTTAGCTTTTGTTGTGAAGCAGTGCACTTAAAGCATATACATATATTCTGTGCAAGTTTTTTACGTACGTATACAAAATATATTGCGTGTATATACAATTATATATTAATATTAGTTATTTTCAACTTCCGATGACTTATCGAAAATTATACTTCAGAAAAGTGTCCAAAAACTGCACTACTAAGCCCATAACTTTTCTTACAGGCATCCGATTTCAAAGTGTCATACCTCTAAATGATTGTGGTTTATATCTCTAAAAAACTGCATTTTCAATTTGGTTTGTAATTTTGGGTCGATTTTTCGTAATTTTGCCCTTTCCAAATTTTCGAAAAATGGCTTTGCAGAAAAGTCACCTAAAACCTGCACTTCTAAGCCCATAACTTTTCTTAAAGACATCCGATTTTAAAGTGGCATACTTCTAAATGATTGTGGTGTAATCCTCTAAAAAACTGTGTTCTCAGCTTGGTTTGTATTTTGGAGTCGATTTTTCGTCATTTTGACAGTGTTACCCCTTTCCAAATTTTCAAAAAATGGCTTTGCAGAAAAGTGACCTAAAACCTGCACTTCTAAGCCCATAACTTTTCGTACAGACATCCGATTTTAAAGTGGCATACATCTAAATGATTGTCGTTTAATCCTCTAAAAAACTGTGTTCTCAGCTTGGTTTGTATTTTGGAGTCGATTTTTCGTCATTTTGACAGTGTTACCCCTTTCCAAATTTTCGAAAAATGGCTTTGCAGAAAAGTGACCTAAAACCTGCACTTCTAAGCCCATAACTTTTCGTACAGACATCCGATTTTAATGTGGCATATCTCTAAATGATTGTGGTTTAATCCTCTAAAAAACTGTGTTCTCAACTTGGTTTGTATTTTTGGGTCGATTTTGCGCCATTTTGACAGTTTGCAGGAAAGTGACCAAAAACCTGCAGTTCTAAACCCATAACTTTTCGTACAGACATCGGATTTCAAAGTGACATACTTCTAAATGATTGTGGTATAATTCCAAAAAAATCTGTGTTTTTACTTTAATTTTTATTTTTGGTTCGATTTTTCGTAATTTTCAACAATGTAACCCCTTTTCTAATTTTCGAAAAATGGCTTTGCAGGCATCCTATTTCAAAGAGGCATGCTCTACCGAAAAAAAAATGTTTTATTACGGAAACATGCTCAGATTATGAAAAAAATAGGAAATTATTTTATTTGTGAACGAGATACATCAGCAACTTACTTTTCGTGCCAACATTGAAGACCTGGAAAAATGTACTTCCCATACTATACCATTTTTGGGACCATTGGTCATAAAATAATTTCGACAAAGCAAATATTATTGTTGCTCTTTTATTTATTCCCAAACTTTTCACGTGTGTATAATCTTTAATACAAAAATGCGTATAAATAGTTGTATAATATGATTTTCTTTCTGGTTATACAAGCGCGTGTATAGGCTATAATTATATCGCTACGATTTATAAATGTTTATGGTATATATATAACTTCTGCATGCAATATTTGCACGCAATTAACAATTTGAATGCAATTGTAATGGATCATGGGTCGAAACAATAAGCGAATATCTAATAAAATGTCAAATATATCATTTAAAATGCATTAAAATTATGTAAATATATAAAATACATAGTAATGGGTTGCTTTAAAATATACAAATTAATATTGTTATGAAATTAAATCCTAGTCGCTTTATACAAATATCCTTTGCATTCGATTGATTAATTTCTAGCTCGACATTATAGTTGAAAGGCAGAGCCAAACGATCACTCAAAGGCACAATTAACAGACAATATTGAGTTAAATTAATTATATTATAGCAATGCCTAAGTCTACCTCTTTGCTGAGCTCATTTCGCTTGCCCTGGAATTGCGGCCTTAAGAATATATATTTTATGGATTTTATGTATCTATTTACAAGTGCGTTTATCGTTCGAGTTAGCGGATGAATCTTAATGATTAGAAGTGATCCACCTTCACGGAGACCGTGTGGGCGGCGGCATTGCAGGGCAGGTCGATGTTGTCCCACTCGGTGTGCAGGTTCTTCTCGCTGTCGGTCGCCTTCAGGGCCAATCCCAGTGATGCAGTCCGTCCGGCACAGTGCGGTATATTGAGTGTAACCGGCACCAGGAACTCAAGGCCCTGCGGCCCACACATCACCAGCGGTGACAGCATTGTCTCACCTGCGATGGCAAACAAGACGATTGTTAGTCAGGGTTCTGATAAATTTCCTTGGCTTTTTCATATGCAATTAGAGCTGTGTTTAATAGAGTGTGGCAATTCGTGTGGGGTTAAGGGAAGTGTAAGTGGGCACAGACATAGACTCAATTCGGTTGGAAACATAAACAGTTGCATTCGTGAAAGTTTTTAAAAGTTTGTGTTGGGGTAGTAGATAAAAGTTTAAATATTTTAAACAAGAATTAGGGCTTAAAGGTACTTTAGAATTTGTAAAGAGTTTAAAAACAATTATTTGTAAGTCTCCAAATAAGCCATGAAAACTCTGAGGAAGGTAGTATATATTTTATGAATTTTCTATAATAATATATCATGCTGGAAAAAGTGTGCAGAAAGAAACAATGAAGGTTTTAATAAATGTAAATGAAATTACATGCAAGAAGCCACAACTATAGGTTAGTATTTTCAACACTAAACATTACAACTAAGGATTAAAGACCACTAAAAGCTACAGCCACCACTAAGAAATGCTTAACACGTAAAATATAACGACTAAATAAAGAAAAACAAAATAATGCTGTAATAAAAATAAAAACAAAGACAGTGGACACGTGTTTTTGGCAAAAGGTTGGTGGTAGTGGCGTTTTTTTTGGTGGATGGATACTATTGTACGGAGTAGAGTGTGTGTTTTGTGTTGAGAGGGACCAACCATTTTCCATGTCCAGCGGAGGACCGCCGACGGCTTGTCCCATTCGCGGATCGCTCACGGTGAAGTAGATCTCCTGCCGCACTCCCGGCGGAATGGCTCCGGGTGGGATTTGCAGGGAGACGTGCCACAGTTTATCGGCCAGAGTTCCACCGTTGGAGTCGAAGCATCCTCGCGACGTGCTGGGTTCACGGGGCAGTGCGGGGAAGGATCCACCAGCAGGAGGGGCATTATTCACGGGTCCGGCGATGGGCAGGGACATGCTGCTGCTGAACGGAGTACTGGTGGCATTCGGCGGACCCACTGGCAAGCTGGTCTGGGATGTGTACTGGGTTTCGATGGAGGTGCAGCTGTCGCCGATTGGGGAACTCGGCGGAGGAGCTGTCCGCTTTAGTATGTTCGAGATGTGGAAGGGCACCCTGCCGGATCGCGGGGTTAGGACAAGGGCTGGTGGAGGTGCCAGGGAGAGACCATATCTTCTGCCTCAAATACATCATCCGACACATTTTGCTTTTCACTGGCCAGCATTCCCTCATTATGCAGATTATTTTCAATGGCAGTGGGTTGCTCCGTCTGTTCCGCAGAGCTTTCAGCCTCAGCCTCAGCCGCTTCATCCTGCTCCTGAACCACCTCCTCCTCGTCGTCATCCACCTCATCCTGAACAAGAGGTGCCCTGGCGGGATTTTCTATCACCGTATCCGAGGATTTCTGCAGATCCGAACGACTTAGGGTCGAGTCTTCCACCGGCTCCTCCGGTTGCGCATTGATCTCCACTTGGATCTGCTCCGACTTGCCCTCCTTCTCCTTCTTCTCATCCGTTTCGTTCTCCCGGGACTGAAGGATGCTCTCCTCTCGGGTCTCGTAGATGGGTGCCGGCCTGCCCATGTCCCTTTTGGACACATAAATCGGTTCTGCCATGCTGTCCAATGCTTCCCGCCTTGTCTGATAGATCTGATCCCGGAGCTGGGCCCTCGTTTTCAGAGCACTTTCCTTGGCCTCACGGCGACTCTGGTATATGGCCTCCGGATTCGAGGCCTCCGACTGGCTGCTGCTGCTCTGGGGACTGAACTCCCGCTCCATGTCCCTCTTGCCCTGGCTGATCCTCTCCTGCATTTCGCGTTTCGATTGGTACAGATGATTCCGCTGCATTTCTCGCTGCATTTCACGACGGGATTGGTAGAGGGGTTCCTCTTCGTTTTGCTCATTGGCCGCTCCCGGATAGAATCTCCTGCGGGTCATGACCTCGGAATTGGGCGCCCTTCGCTGATCGGGCAGCATGTAGGCTCCGTTCCGGGTCTGATAGATCTCCTGGGGATCCTGCTCGTAGCCTGGACTGATCATGGGTCTTCTGGCTGCTCCTGGATTTCCTCCACGATCCGCAGTGGTGGTGCTGTGACGTCGCACTATCCTCCTTCCATTCCTGCCACCAGAAGCTGCAGCTGCTTCTGCCTGCCTCCTTTCGAGATCGATGCAGGCCCGATTCGCATAGAGATCATATTGGTCGTATCCATAACCATTGTCCTGGGGATGCTGCATTCGGGGCACTGTGTTGCCTATGTTCCCATAGATATCCTCACTCTCCAGATTCTGGTAGGTACTGTTCATCATCTCCTGCTGCTGCGGCGGATAGTGACCACCTCTTTGATAGTACACATCCTGCGGATGGGACTGCATCATGCCCTGTCCGCCATGGGAGCGCTCTTCAAAGCCAGCGGGATAGGTGGGATACTCATCGGGATAGTAGGGTCTCTGCACACCCCTCTCCAGCATCGACTGCTGTCGTCGCAGGCCCTTGGGCTTCCTCTCCGGCTCCACCATGCTGTTCATCCTCCTCAGCGGCCTCGTACTCTTGAGCAGGGCATTCTTGAGGGCCACCAGCGGGCTCTTTAGCACCGACTTCTTCTTTTTGTGTGGAGGCAGTGGCGGTGGAGCCATCTCCATGCCATGATCATCGTAGTACTGCTGTTGCTGCTGGGGATGTTGGGGATATTGCTGACGTGGCTGACTATGTCCCCTCGAAGTTCCATAGTGGCCATAGTAGTTGGGATCTTGGGCGGGGGGAGGTCGCTCGTGGGGATAACGAGGAGCTGAGCGGGATCGCTGCATATGATGTCCTTGGACAGGATGGACGCCAGGCGGCGGCATGGCGTAGTAATCATCGTATCGCTCATCGTACGGCTCCATCTCGCTAAAGATTCATTACATTCGGAATTCGGAATTGTTGGGTGTTATTAGCAAGGGGTTTTTAAAGGTTTCGATTGCTGTAATTCTGAGAAAATCAACTCAAAGGATTTTTGTGTGTATCCGAACTTGAATTAATAACAATCAAGTCGTTTACTGAAAAATGTCGAGACCGAATTGGTTCTTAGTTAAAGTGTCACAGGAATTTAGGTATTTGTAAGTCATTTTATTCGACTTTGGCTTTTTTTTTAGTCCTTAAGTCCTTAAGACCTTTTTTAACTAATTATCTAAGGCAATCCTGTGACACCAAATTACATTCGGAAAAAATTGGCTTTATAAGTCTCTTTACCATCTTTTAAATGAGAAAGATTACAATATGTAATAACCTTGACACTCAGACGCATTTTATTCCTGCAAAACTTTCGCTAAAGACACACAAGAAGCGCACATATAAAAAATATCCATATAATGTTATTAAATACTTTGCAAATTAACCAAAACTGTAGAGAAAATAAATACCAATTACCATTTGTTTAAGTAGTTTGTTGTTAGTTATTATTTTATTAAAAATGTTGAATTTACCCAAAACCTTAGTTAGATTCAAGATTAACTTTCAAATGCCCGAGAAATGTATATTAAAACAATCAGCTAAAAGCATGATCATAAAATGTATAATTAATAGTACGAGTTTGAGTTTAAGAGTAGAGAAATGTGGATACGATTCTGTACTGTATAGTAAACTTGAAAATATAAGTTAACCCGAAAAATGTTTTATTTTCGTTTTCATATTTTATGTGCGTGAAGCGCTCAACTTTTTACGTTTGGTTTTATTTTTCGAAATTTTGTTAAGCTTTCATTTATGGTTTGGTTAATAATTTTGGTTATTGCAAAATACAACAATTATTTAATTTATGTAATATATGCGATTTGTTTTCGTTGTTGTGCGTTTTTCGTGAAATTTTTGCATCGAATAATTTGTAATGACCAGCAACCGTATGAAAGTATGAATAGATCGGCATAATGATTGATTGATTGACTGATTGTTTGGCTGACTGATTGACTGAATGCTTGATCGAGTATTGTAAAGTACAAAAATGGCATTTAACAAGAATATAAAACATTTTTCGTTAACACAAATGTTGAAAATGAAGGGGGGGATCAAAGAAATATTTTTCGTGTATGTGGTTTCTGTTTTTTTTTTTTTTTTGGGGAAGTAAGATATCTTCTTGTTGGGACAATGTATCTATCATAGGGTTGGATAATTTGGGAGCTACGTGCATCTGACATTGACTCACCTCATGTTGTGATGGTGCCCAGCTGCGGCGCCGATTTGCGGTTTACGATAAAGCTCGAAGGCCGAACCACGCTGCTCCCGACTCCCAGCCAAATCCAAAGCATGACGTTCGGGCGTGTGGGGCGGTAGGTTTGCTATAAGTTAAGTTATTGTTATATAATATATATATATATATATAGTAATTCTAGAGATTTAGCTATCAATAGGTTTTGAAAACTTAATCAATGAAACAATACCTCCCGAATATTTTGGAGATATTTTCAGAAAACATAAGCTTCTTCTGGGTTCTTAAAATGTTATCATAGATTTTCTTTTTTGGTAATTATTAAAACAAAGCTAGAAAAGCTATCTAAAATAAAGTGTTGTTATTTAGTTCTTCTTGTTTTAACAAATGCCAAAACAATATATATAAACGCATATTTTTAAGATATCCAACAAGAAATGATATCAAAACCTCTCCCATTTTTTTCAGTTAATATTTTGTAGGCATTTTAAAGTGCGTGAGCCACCCACCTATTGGCGGTGGCATGCCGCGATGTGGTGCAATATAGGGTCCAGTGCCGCTGCCTCCGTTGTAATGGTGACTGTTGCCATTGTAGCCATTGGCCTGTGGATAAGGTTGCGGAGGCGGGGCCTGTCCATAGTTGCCATTACTTCCTCCGTAGGTGGGTTGCTGCTGCTGCGGCGGCGGTGGTTGCATGTGTCCATTGCTGGGCGAACCAGGAGTCGCCTGCTGGCCATAATGATGATGCGAAGGCGTTGGCGGATAGTAGAAGCCGTTGGGGGAACGAGGCGAACCAGAGTCCTGGAAGGGGGTTAAGAAAAAGAGCTATAAGTTTAAGAAAATCTATAATCCAAGGATTAAACTTACCCCATTCTCCCAGGGAGTGGTGCCACCACTACCACTGCTGCCACCACTTTGCACCGGTGGCCTGTAGTTTTTGGGCTTGGGCGGCGGAACCGGCTTAAACGGTCCACTGCCATTGCTGCTGGGCGTTCCGCTGCCGTTCATCTGGTTTTGGCCATTGCCCACATTCGGAGGAGGCACCACTCCATGTGGCGCCGTCTTCGGCAGCTTAGTGTAATCCGCTTGTGTCACGGAATTGTTGCGACTGTTTTTTTCATGTGGTGGCGGGTTTTTGGATCGAGTGACATGGTTGCATTATGGGTGGTTTTTAGGTGTAAAAGTGTGTGTGTGTGTTGTTTTTTTGGGGACAAACAGTTGATGATGGCGAGCACAAAACATAAGCAAGAAAGAGAAAAAATTGTATGTAATTATAAGGACATGTGTGATAGTAATATGATAAATATTTATGGTGCTTAGACGGCATACAAAAGTCTGGGTCGATCTGGTGTGAATATCGTTTATTGCACTTTGGGCTGGGGTTCTCAAAAGAGTTTTTCTATTTACATGGTGGTATGAAATCAACACAAATTGTGAACAACTTTAGAGGGAGGGACATTCCAAAGGGCAGTAATGTGCCAATGGTTTTAACCACAACACAAATAAACTTAAAGTATACATTAGGCTCAAATTGGAAAACAATTACAATTTAAGAACTTGGTTTATATAGATCGAAGAAAGGATATTAAAACATAATTAACTGGTAAAGTGTTTTTTTTGGTATATAATTCAAGGACTTGTCTAGTGCATTTTCTCATATAAAAATTCGTATTTTATCTATAAACTAAGTTCGTTTTCGATTTCGTTCAGACGAGCGTGTCGTAGGCGGAGGCACTGGACATCAGCGGAGGAGGTGGCAGTGGAGGCACCAGGGCATGCAACCGAGGGGCAGCAATTGGTCGCCGATCGAAACCGCCGGAGGAGAGGCGAAGGAGCTGCTGCTGGGTCAGCTGAAGGCCGCAGGACATGGGGTGGGGCAGTTGCAGGGGCAGGGGCATGGCCAGGGGCAAGGACGAGGGCGAAGGGGAGAGCGACAACGAGGACGAAGGTGAGCGCGAGTGCATCAGATGCAAGTGCTGCAAATGGGGCGCATGGAGATGATAGCGTCTATTGGACCAGGCACACATATGTTAACAAGTTATCATAATTTATATATTCAGAAAGATACAAAAAGAATATTTACGACACAGTCGACAAAAATGCATGCGAGTGAGTTGAAAAAGAACGACGGCGCAGGAGAAAGAGAAAGTAAATAGTTTCTTTTTTATTCTTGACTGAGCCACGCGATATTTACAATTTCTGGTGGATAGTCTTAATAATGGATTTTGGGGTTTTTACCTGTATTTTCCGTAATCCGTTTTGGTCTCCACCAAAGGCTTACGTGGGCTGTTTTCCAGACCTAGATTCGAAGGACGCTGTGGTGTGCCATTGCGTGGATCTGAAAAAGGAGGAATAAATTTAAAAATGGAATAAGTTTAGATGTGCAAGGAATTTCCTAGTAACTATAAATCCTTGAGAGAGGAAAACCATATATTTCATTAAGTTTAAAGTATTTTGTTTGGACTTCCTTAACTTTATTTTTCTTAGCTTTGATTAAAAAGTTCTTGATTACTAACCTATATTACGGGACGCATTCATTTCATGATAGTGCGGCCTGCCTGGACTGCTCTGGCGATTCAGATCATTGGGTCCGCCGAAACTGCGATGATCGTGTGGTGTACGGCCGTAGTCATGTGATTGACCCACGGGCGGCAAGGGGCGACCACTGAAATAGTTAATAAAACATAAACAAATAAAATATTTAAATAATAACAATTATTAAAAATAAACTCACCTTGCATTTGGCACTGATTTGAGATCGTCGGGCGCATTGGGACCCAGTCGGCCCAGGTTCTGCATGGCCATCTGTGTGTTGTTATACGAATCGTAGCTGGATACACTGTCGTAGGTGGATGCACCTCCTCCGCCGCCTCCTCCTCCTCCTCCGCCTCCAGCTCCATTGGCCTTCAGCTGGGCATTCAAGCGAGCCTGACGCTCCAAGGATGCCTGAGTGAGCTGCTGCTGCTGTTGCTGCTGCTGCTGCTGGCGATCCATGGTTTCAGCTGCTCCAGAACCGACCAGAGCATTCCGGGTGATATACTCCGCCTGGACATCATCCTGCACCACGGCCTTGCCGAATAGACGCTCCTGGGCACTGCGTCCCAGGGTGCCATTCCGCGATGACGAGCCCGAGGTGTTCAGGGGGATGTCCCCCGGCTTGGACTGCCGATCGATGCGAGGCGGCAGATCTGGGGCATTAATCCCGTACAGGGATTGCGGCCTCACTGCAGCCGGATCTCCTCCGCCGGGCTGCTGTGCCTGCGGTGGCACACTGGTGCCGTAGATGCTGTACTTGCTGGAGTCCATGGTCTGGCGGCGATTGGGATTCGCGGGGACACCATGGTCGTAGGGTACCTGCGCAGGTGCATTGCAAGGGTCGTGAGTGGGTGGCGAAATAGATTAGCACACTGGTTAAACTGGTCAGCAAAATCGGGCTTGTTATGAGAGTTATCAATGAAATTTTTTTTTTTTTTTAAGATATAAAGTCTGTAACCCTTTTTAAAAGGTTCTATAATTTTTACATATTTTTTTGGCTAACAAAAGATATGAGTTTGAAAGTAATATGGTAATTTAATAAGTATTGTCAATAAGTTTTATCAAGAAACTGAATAAAATGTAATTTTATTCTATATATAATAATTAATTTAATTTAAATTTTTATTGTAAATCTTTTATTAAAAAAGAATGTTAAAGACTTCAGAAAAATATTTTAAAATATCCAATGATTACTTTAATAATTAGACTTTGTTGACCATTGTTATTTGAATGACTTTTATTAGGGCGCTTAAAAACCTCTGTAGTATTGATTTGTTTTTTGGTTTTAGTGGAAGCGCATGCTAAGTTTGTTTCTTAGTTTGAGTTTATGTTTGAGTTTATGTTTTGGTTTTTTTTGGTTGGTTTTTCGACCTCTTACCGTATATGGAGGTGGTAGTCCTTCACCAATTATGTCTCTATCCCTATCCAAGTTATCCTGATTAGTGGCGATCGATGGATCTGAGCTCGCTTTAACCAACTGCGGCAAATTGCCAAGCGACAATGATGCGGATGGGCCGGGACTCAGTTCCAAATCGGATTCGGGACTTGATGCATACGAGAGTCGGGATGTGGTCATGGGGAATAGGAAATCGTCGGAGAGGGATTCTACTGGCTGGGGTTTGCAGTTTGGTATTTGGTATTTTGCGGATTCGGTTCGGTTTAGGCGCAAAGTTTTGGGCAAGAGTTAATTGAATTTTAGCGGTAGATTCGGTGATTTTCAAGTTTCAAATTTAGCGCGTTGAGAGCAACCAACATTTGTTTTGATAATAAATAAAAACGCAAGAACAGCAACAAGAAACGTATATGAAACATTAAAAAATTATGATTGGTCGATTCGATTGATTGAACACGTTCGATTGCGAAGCATTTGGATACGTAATGTGTGGACGAACACAATATATTTTTGGTATTTTGAATATATTTTGTAGTTTGATTTTGGTTTTTTTAGTTTTGGACGAGGACATTTTGATTATTTTGGTGGTGTTTGTTTTAATATATGCATCGGGTTTTACGGGTGATTAAGCGGGAAATGACCATGATGATGTATATTTGGTATTTTGTTTTGGTATGTAAATAAAAGAAACAAATGAAACGAAAAACATTTAGTTAGCAACTTTATAAAAATATTGGCAAAAATTTGTATGGCGATTTTTGCGTATATACTTAAGACTAAATATGTATGTCAAATAATTTTCAGGATTTCGTTTTGATATATTGATATTGTGAGTTGGAATAGAGATGGGAAATTGTCATTCTTTGGGAGGCGATAAAGTGGACATGTTGGAAAGTAAACAACTAAAAAATGCAGAGTTTATATCTCTTGAGATTAAATATTATACTTTCTACTCCCCTCCAGGGAATGACAATTTTTTTCTTCTCGGGTTATATGATATTCATGATCTCTCTACATGCTTTTAGCTCACAAATACACACAATTTATATGTACATATTAAACGAATAGCGGTCTACACACAATATTATTGTTCTTGATCATGCTACATGAGGAGTTTTTGGGTCTTATGAATAATTTAGTACAAACAACTACATGCGATAGAAAGGGTAGGATAGAGATATTCAGTTGAAAAGTGTTGTGCCCCAAGGGGAATGCTCTTTATAATCCGAAATCAGATCTCATTCTCTGGACCTTTTCAACTAAATTAACACCGATTCTCATGCAATGCATTCGTTACTTTGGCCAACATTGTTGTTGGAATCAGCATTATTAACATGGCTATTATTGTTATTAATATTATTATTGTTATTATTGTTGCTGTTGTTGTTGTTGCTGCTGCTAGTACTACAATTATTGTTGTTCAGGCTACTTGAATTATTGAGACTGGCAATCTGATTGGTAAGATTATTAAATGCCAGCGTAAAGCTACCCTCATCCGCCAAAGTGCCATCACTGCTCTCATGACCATTACTATTATGGCCCAACCCATTGCCTTTGCTTGCCCAGAAGATTGCTGAGTGATCCCGAGGAGGAGTAAGTGGCTCTGCCCTGACCATTGCCAATCAATCGCTGCTGTGGCTTGGCCATCGGTGCCCTCTTGCCCTCTTGCTGCTGCTGCTCCAGATTGCTGTTCTTGCTTTTGGCCAGATCCTGCTGCTGCTGCTGCTGTGGAGGCAGCAGATTCAGGCTGGAGTCGAAGAGATTCTTCTGCAGCAGCAGCTCGTGGTAGTAGTAGGGTGTGGTCCTCCTTTCCACCTGGGCATTGGTTCGCAATCCATAGCGGCCGACTGCAGCTGGTCCGGGTTGAAAGCCCCTCGAGATGTTCGAGTGATTCGATTGATTCGCTTGATTCACGGCACTCGAACTGCACCCATTCAAATTGGAGTTCAAGTAACTCTGACTCATTAGATTGGGCTGAGAGCTGTGGTACTGGGAGTCCGTGAGGACATTGTCATCCAGTGGCATTGTGGGAGCGGGATCTACGGGCGGAGCCAAGCCACTGGGCATCGAAGAAGCGGGCTTGATGATCGACACCATCGTATAGGACCGCCGATCTAGGGGCTTTTCCGCCAAACTCTGGCTGTGGGCGTAACCCACGGGCGGTGGGCGTGGCGGTGGAGGTGTGTGACTTTGGATCATTGAATAGGGTTTATGCGGATGCGGATTCTGATTCTGATTCAGATTTAGATTCAGATTCTGCGAGTAGCGTGGCACTGAGGTCGATGAAATGGGGCGGCAGCAGGCGAACTTGCAGGGCTGGGCGATGTAGGGGGGGAATAACATTTCGGTGGGGGAATCGGGGAACTGTTAATGTTATTTTTTTTTTACGATTTGTTGACAACAATCATGGGCATGTTTGTATGTGTGTGTGTTGGTGTGTGTTTTAAAAAACGAATAAGAAAAAGTTTCGAAAGTAAAAATTAGAATATTGACCATAACCATTTGTAGAAATTATAGAGTTATAGAGGTTTTAAAATTAGTTAAAGAATTAATACGATAAATAAGTATTATTAAAGTTAGGAGATCTACTAGTTTGGGATATCATTGGTATAACTAAAGCTGTACTAAATAAACTTTAATATTGTTTCAGTTACAAACAAATCATTCCTTTTTTCTAGGTTGTCTAAGTTTTTATGTATCTATTGGTAGTTATTAGTCTTGATATGCTAATTGACCTATAATCGTGCTTAATATTATTTAGTTTGTTCGAAGGGGAGAATAAAAACAAGACTGGTTTTATCTCTATTCTAGAAAAGCATTCTCAAAGTAAATTAGGTATTTAAAGTTTAATACTAAAGTTTTTTAAAAATATATAAATGGGTTCACTGATTTTAACTATCAATATCTAATTTCCTATCATATTGAAGAATGAATTATTTTGAATACATAAAAAAGGAAGAGGTATTTAAAACCCTTTTACTAAATATCTTATGTTGTTTCGAAAACTCTAACTTCCCTTCACCTTTTTGGACAGTTAATACATAATTTAGTTAAAGATTACGCAGTTATCAAATGGAGTCACGACATCCACGAAATGCTTTGGGTTTTAATCAGACTTATTCACTAACTACATTGGACAACACGCAGACAACGACTAGGATGGAATTGGAGATCCGGACTGGAAAGAAGACTCACCTTGGACTCGGACATCCAGACGGCGCCGCTCTGCTGCAGATCGATCGAGTCGCGCAGCTTTCGGTACCAGGACTCCTCGTCGCTCAATGCGATCTGGGTGCTGAAGATGTGCGACCAGACGCGCTCCAGTTTCTGGCACTGCTCCAGCAGCTTCTTGGAGCTCTTGTGGGCCGCCTTGGGAAGTCCGTGGCGCAGCTGCTTGATCACGTGCTTGCTGTCCGTCTTCAGGAAGATCACCACCGGATAAAACTGGGCGTAGTTTAAGCGATCCACCGCATTCGGTGTGATATCCAGCAGGGCATGCTTTCCACGATCCATCACATCGCGTATGTTCGAGAGCCTTACGATTCGACACTTTCCAATGGCCGCACCCGACTTGTCATCATCCTGCAGTGGAGTGGAGAACTTGTCGGGGAAATCCTTGGCCAATCGTTCGCGGGCCAGATCGGAAACGGGGCCGAAGAGCACCACGGGTCGCACAAAGCCAGGATGACGGAGTACAACCCGCTCGTAGGCGGGGAATTTGGAAATGCTGTCGGAGAAGACCACATCGTCCCAGTTTTCACGCGAAAGACTCTTCGAGCGACGGTGTGTGGAACTGTTGGTTAAGGAGTAAAATAATATTTAGTATAGGTTTTAAAATATAAAAGACAATCAAACTCACCGTCGTCGCCGGAAGAAGTTACCCCTCGATTCGTTGGCGTTCATCTCCTTCTTGGTGGCATTAAATTGAGCAGTGGCCAGTTCCTCGGCCCTCGACTTGTTCGGTATCACGCCACGTTGCATCTCCTGGTGACCCCGACCGATCTTGAGGACCTGCCAGGAACCGACCACACCATTGTGCAGGGTATCGATCACTCGGAAGACATCGCCCGCCTTGAAGGCCATCTCGCCCTTGGAAGGATTATCGCAGTGGAAGTGGGTCTTGATGTGAAAGGAGTCGCCGCGCTGGTTGGTCACCACCTCGTCGTACTCCTCCTTGCAGTACTGCACAATCAGATCGATGCGATCCTGCAGGCTCAGCAGGAAGAGCACAGCCTCCTCCCGAGTCACGCCGTTCATGTCCATGTCGTTGACCTTAAGGATCTTATCGCCTGGCATTAGACCCTGCAGTGAGGCCGGAGATCCTGGTTGCACGGCAGTCACAAAGATACCGGCTTCATTGCCGCCGGTCAAGCGGATGCCCACGCTTCCTTCTTTCTGGAAGGAAATGAATCTCGGCTCGGCACTCTGACGCTCCTCGTACAGTTGTCTTCGCGAGCTGTAGAAATCCTCTTGGGCAGCTCCACCGCTCGATCCTCGTGGCGGTGGCGGACGTGGTGGCTCATCGGCAGCTCCTCCCCTTCCCCGAGTTGGAGTTACGGGTCTGTCCAGTTGCTGCAGCGATACCCCATCCATTATGGGTCCCCGGGAGCGACCCCTCGGTGTGAGATTGCTCTTCTCCTCGCTCAACCCATTGCCATTCATATTCGGACCATTGGAGGTGCGAGTGGGGGGCTGGACATACAGATTCTGCGAGGAGTAACTGGCTCCACCCGGCAAATAGGGATCCTCGAGATTGTTGTTACTGCCACTGCATCCGGATACCTGAGGCTGATGAGTGCCGTATATATTTCCCGCTGCCTGATGGCTGGCTGAGTTGTTCAGATTCAGTTGGCTAACAGCCGCCTGGTTGGTAATGTCACGAAGAACCACTAGATTCAGTCGCTCCTTGCAGCCATCGATGATCTTTTTCGCCTCCTTCAGGCTCATCGTATCCCCGCAGTTGGTGTTGTGGATGCGAGTGATGATGTCACCCTCTTGTAAACTGTAACCATTGGCGTTTAGTTGCTCGCGTGCCTTGGAGGAGATCTCCTTGACGAACAGTCGACAGCCGAGCACCACTCCATAGTCGTCCTTCTTTCCGCCCTTCGTTAGGGTGACCTTGATGGGCTGGCCACCGCTGGCATTCTGGACCAGGGATGAGTTCAGCGAGTTGGGCTGACTCAGGCTCGTCATGGGAGTCGGAGCCACTCCTCCACTGCCATTCGCCACCAAACCCACCGAACTGAGGCTGTGCGAGTGCTGGTGCTGCACTGCACCACCCGGGATAATGGGATTCAGGGGCACGCGACGCTTGACCACCAATTGGACCGTGTTGCCACTATCCCGCAGCACTTGCACCGCCGTTGCATACTCCACGTTCTCGAGGGAGACCCCGTTCACCGATATGATCCGATCGTTGACTCTGCAAAGAGGGAAGGGTATGGGTTTAGTTGCAGGCACTGGAGTTTAATATGGATCACTCGACTGGGCTTGGTAATTGTCGGGTAGATCGTAAACCCTGCCCTAATGACCGAATCGTGACCAAACTCGAGGAGTACAGGTTTCTGTTTATATGCAGGTCATTAGAAGCGACCTTGTCCATTTTTACACAGTCATTAGACTTGCAGCCATAATTAAGGAACATTTATTTGGGACTGTTGCAACTGAGAGATACCCAGGAGATATTTTCTTTTGCGTAATACATACAAGTGGAAAATAGCTTAAAGGTCAATCTAAAATGTTATCATATCAGCTATTAAATAATTAAAAACACTATCATATTGACCTACATAAAATAATGGAAAATTAAATAAGCAAGGTTATCAACATGGATTTTATATTCCAAGTTGGTCAGTATCAGAGACTCAAGATCACCTGGTTGCAGTTACTCAATGTCATTTCAGAGAACAGGGTATCAAGCCAAAGCTACACGGTAGCAAACATGAAATTAAAAACCACTCCAGCTGTAGACACAAAATGTTTCGGATCATTGAGTGCAATGCGATCGGGCAGGTAGAGATCAGACTTCTCAGTCTCAATCCCCCAGCAACTTGAAGTGAAATCAGGTTAGACTTGGATTGAAGACATACGCTAATAAACAGGCAATTGTCAGACAGTTCTTCAGCATGACTAGACTAGAAGTGATATAGTCGAGAATAGAGACCTCTGCTAAGCGGCTTCCGTGGATTTCTGTGAAATATCTCGCGCGGTACTTCGTTTATTTGTTCAGACCTGAACAATTACGGTCCGTTCTTGGAACGGAACACAGAAGTGGAGGAATGAAAAGTAAAAATGTAATAGTAAATAGCACATGACGAATTAACGACAAGAATGTTATACTTTAGATATAGATACAATAAGTGTGTGTTACTCTCGTCGCGGCAGACAAAGTGGTTAATGATAGAAATTATATTGCATGTCTTAGGCGAAACATATCCATAATTAAGTTGTCTACGAGTGCAGAAAGAAGCGGTAACCGAACAGAGCCACACTGAGCCTCGTTTTACTTTCGGTTCGCCGATGGAACCATTGAGTCTGGCCGGAGCGGCTTAACAATTAAGCCGGCCAAAAATGCGGAAAATGTGCCATGGAATGGCATAAGTTGGGTTGGGAAAACCAACTTATGTACTCAGGAAAACAGGATTACATAAAGTACAAGCTTTATGGTTATAAAGAATTCCCTTGGTGAAGTAATGTTGGCCTTTAAAACGTATTTTTGTTAAAAGAGCTGGATAGCATTTTAATATATAATGGGAAAAATATGATTTGGAAAATAAATATAAAAACTAATATTCATTTGAAGCTTAAATGTAAGTAATGTAAGTAAGTTTAAAAATAGATCTTAGAATATATTTGGTCTATGAAATCACTTTGCTTTTTGTTCTTTACTCATTCTTAAACAAAAGGGTAATTAAGCACTATTTTTCCTTAGTGTATACTAGCTGCTAGGCTGCATAATAGCGAAACTTTGTCCATAATAAACCCACATGCTCTCAGGCAGCTTGAAAAGACATGTGCTGGGCTGCAGCTAATTTCCACTTGTCTCCACACTCTTGGCAAACATTTTTCCAGCCTTGGCAGCGGGATTTTCCTTTTGAAATCCTCCGGCAGCAGACTCAGGTAAGGGACATAGTGAAAATTGTTCCCTGCATGTCTGGGCCAGGGTAAATAGTTTCTTGGGAAAAAAGATTATGACAAGTCTTTAATCACTAGGGTCTGGGATCTGGCCAACGTCCTCTAGTCGGTCGTCGGTCGCTGACTATTGAAAAACGCTTTGGAATTTTTATTATTGCCGAGAGAAACAGCTTCAGCGGCATCGAGTTGGAGCTGTCACAACGTTGGTTTAATTAAATATTTTTTTTTGGGGACCGGCTACGTGAGATTGAAGTATTGAAGTGTGCGCATTTGGGGTTTTATTTCCGAAGGAGTGGGTATAAAAAAGAGAAAAAAGTTCTAAGCCCAAGATTAACGATGTCAATTGTCAGCGGGCACGTTGGGAATTTATAATGCTCATTTTCGTTTGTAGGAGAATAACTAGTGCTGGGCAAATAGGAAATGCTTAGTCTGCACTTTATTTGATCAGCCTGCATGGGGGCCCATTCAGCATGTCGGATATTTCTCAAACAACAATTAGTTTCCTGCCAGATAATAATTCAAAATGCATTCAAAAGGTTCACTTCCTAAGGGGTCAGTAACTTCTGTTGACTCATCTCGAGGGTCTTCGATACTTACTGCAATCGATCCTCGGCGGGGCCACCTTTCAGCACATCGCTAACTGCTATCGAGGGATCGCCGTTGGCGAAGTGCGGATTATCACGTCCACCGGAAACGGCTATCCCAAATCCATAACCCGGAACTCGAGTCACCGCCACCGTGTGGTACTCCCAAGTGGTACGATCACCCTGGAAAAGTCGAAAAATAAAATAGAAAATGTTAGAGAGTTTCAAAAGACATGGAAATTATAATAAGTGTCACTACTAAATTTTAAGATTGTTGGATTAAATCTTAAGATTCAGTATCGATATTAAAATAATATATGACAATATTTAAGTATCATTGTGATGGTTTGAATACAATATTAAGTTCTAGTAGACAAGATTAATTTCTCTAATGTAGAAAGAATACATTTAAAACTAATAAAAATAGTTTCCTATGACACGAAAACTAGACATTTAAAATGTGTCCAGGAATTTTCGGAGTAAAAACATTTTCCTCAGCTGTCTCTCTCAATTTATTTCAATATAATTTAATTGGAATTTGTTAAGGATGGCTGCCAGACGGAAATGCACATGTGACTTCCGTTTTTCCATTTTTTTTACATACTCGTATGTGCGACCTGTTGCCCAGGCCAAAGAACAACCCATGAACATTCAGCCACTGGGACGCAATTCAATTTTATGCACTACAGGTTCCATCAGAAATGCGTAAAAGGGGTAGTGGTTAGTTGTAAAAATAATAGTAAAAATAATGGTGGAAATAGAGGTTGTTGGGTGTGCATTCGCTGTGACTGAATGGAAATTATTGTGGAGTTTTCCTCTTCTGTTGTTTTTGTGACTGAGGCACCTGACACAAGGCGGAACTAAATAAAGCTGAAAACAATTTGTTTACGAAAGAATTCCGTTTGGAAATGGTATGAATGAAGTTGAATCTAAATAAATAAACTCATGGTGTAAATCATTTAGTTCAGCACAAAAGATTTCGAGTTTATAGGGGAGGATAAAAAAAACGAGAAGAAAAGAAAGATGAACTAGAAATTTGAGGTGAATGTGTGTAAACTCGATTCTTTAATGGCTAAAGAAATTTCTTTCACGTCTCAAATTTTCTGTTTTAATTATAAATAATGACTAGAAGGAAAATTCTCTCATATCATTAAAGTTTTATTTGCTTTCGACTGTTTTAATTTGAGTTTAGAACAATAATTCTGCTTGCAGTTTTTCTATTCATTTATAATAAACTAAATACACTTAATAAACACATTTGGAGTTTCTAGGTCGAGTAATTCAATTACATTTAGTTTACCATTCAACAACTCAATTAAATTAGTGATTTCATTCGGTCTACACGTATTTCCTCACTCAATTTACCACCTGCAATTACAAAATCATTTTAGTTTGACTTCATTTACCCTCACAGCAGGTGCTGGGTGGAACCCAAATCCCAAATCCCAATTCGACACACAACCCCCTCCACCCATATGGGCATTTTCAATTGAGAGATCCAACTCAATCTCTCAATCATTACACAAATCCAATAAACAATGAGGATAAATCAATTAAATTCGAATCCCATCAAGCTGTTTCCCAATCCTGTCTGCATTCACCATGATTCACTCGACAAATACTCCACAAAAAACGATTCGAAACTGCAATCAATTTTGAATCTGTCGTTACAGTGAGCCAGCCAATCCCCTAAAACAAAAAAATTAAAGCGAAATTTTCATGCCTGTCTCAGGTGGGCGCCACAAAAATATAATTTTAACAGACGGACGCAACACGACGCATCCAATTACAAAAGCTCCGAGTTAAAAACATTCCACACGTGGGCTGGTATAAATAATAAACAAAATTAACTAACAAAAATACAAATTTGTGGAGTCGCGTGGGCCTGGCTAAAGTTAATAAATATTTATAAAGTTTTATGTCTGCTGCAGGTGTAGGTAAATGAATTTGCATCAGACTGACTCCACATCTGCCCAGAAATCTTTGGTTATGCTTGGCTTGCATTAAATAAATATAAAACGGAGGGAGTCGAAAACATGAAAGAAGAGATTTATGAAAACGTTGCTGTATTTTTGACCGAGTTAGTGCATTTCGATGGGGGCGGTAAAATTATAATTAACTTAATTGCAAGTGAAATTAGTTGGAAATTTAATGGTGTGCAGCAAAAGGAAGGCGTGCGTTAAAGACTTTCTTTATACCAGATTTAGCTGATAATTAATCTTGTCATGTGTGCGCAACAAAGTTTTTCTGTTTGCCAAAGAAGTTTCCCCGATTGTAGTAACATAACCTTCGTCTAATGCTTTGGCATTCATCAGATTGTTTATCCACTCATTTCTGGGGACCCCACCCTTCACCTTAGTCATAATTTAAGTCAAAGCTGTTTGATTTATGACCCAGTTACTACACATTCTTAATGACTTTAATTATAGGAAAAATAAGTTGTTTGCCACTGGTTATGCTTACCACCAACATGTTGTTTGGAATATAATCCGGAAACTTCATTGTGTTTGATTTTATTTGGTTTCGTTTGCCGCAATTAGAAATGTCTCTTATTCAAAATGCACTTTGAGCGAATCAAAGTAATTAATTTGATTATTTAATTGGTTTCGTATGACATGTTTATAGAGAGCGTAACCTCAATTGTTTGCATTACGATATGAATGCACGTAATTTGGGAACTTGAAGCACACACAAAAAATACACATAAATTTTTTAACAAGTGGAAATAAATAAGAAACGAAAAATAAATATATTGCAAAAATCGAGGAATTTTGCGATAATAAAGTTCGAGCTGATGTCACTTTCAATTGTTGTTAACACACAAGTAGGTAGTTGAATATGCCTTTTCATTAGTGGAAAATCCCACAAATCGAGGTAATGATTTATAAATAAACGTTTTTTTTTTCTAATTTGCTGCAACTTCACGGCGTTTAGTTTCGATTTCAGTTTCGATCTCAATTCTTTTCGGTTTTATTAGAAGTAGATTTGCATATGCTAATGGCTCACAAGCTGGCAAGAAATATCTGAACGAGGCGTCATCGAGTGTCTCTCGCAGATACTTTACACTCCCATAAAGTTTTCGGTGCAAATTAGCATGTTATATTCACTAACACAGATATAGCAAAAGTATCTCATAGATACAACGAATCCCTCTTTATAGAGACATTTGCATCGTGCAAAAGGTTTCATGCCGCCAAGAGCCAAAAGCCAATGACCACCAGCCAACTTTGCGTTGCAAATTTGGAGCGGCGTGCAACAATCGCTCGTATCTGTTGGATGCACCGAAAGTGAAATGTTCACAGCTGCGCTCCGCTGAGCATTACGGATTGCAATTTTGACTTGGATTGCGGATTGCACTGGGCTACGATTTCTGGTTGCCGGTTGTTTGGAAAACCTGTGGGTTTCCCTGTTGCTAGATAGGATTTTCTATCTAACTTTAACTTTTTATGTATTTTTATGGTTTGAACTTTATATATTTTATAAAATCTTCCGAATATCACTACATTTATTATCTGGATGTATGGATTGGTAGTATTTTTATGAAAAGCACAAAAATCAGCTGATTTAGCTCATTTAAACGTAAGCTTATTCGTTGAGAAATGTATTTTTAAAGAGAAATCTCATTGGTGTATCTTTCAGCTAGTTAGAATGCCACCGCACACTTGATTCAGCCAAGCCAACCTATTAACATTGGTGCTTTCGTAATGAACAAACACAACACACACAGCGGAGCAGATGGATATGAAGTGCAGATACTCGTATCTCTCGGATACGTCGCGCCGTCGCAGTTGTCCGCTGGCGGCAACCGTTGACGTTGACGGCTTGAAACACGCTTCGAAACTGTTTTTACCTACGATTGTGGACTCGTGGATGTGGAAGCCAAATGCCAACGCGATCCAACGAATGAAGGCGAAGCGCAAAACAAACACGAGAATAAATACCAGACTGCGCTGGTATCTGTGAGATACAAACGTATCTGTGTGGATGGTGTTGGCTTCCACTCTGTAAATTGAAAGGCCGGAAAGGCGAACGCGAAAATGTAAACAAACCCAGAAAGAGAGCCAGGCAAATAGAAAATATTTGATAAAATTGTGTATGAAAGAGATTTTCAGATTGGAGTTTCTTTTCATAAAATACGGGTCTGGTCTCTAGTAAATGTGTGTGCGTGTGAGTGTGTGTTTTGGGTGTGGATCGTATCTGTGGAATAGAAACTGAGCAATCAAGAAGTGAATATGAAAGAAAATGATCCGGTTTAATGTCTGGAACTTCTGAGGAGGATCAAAGGAGATGTGCCACATCAAACAAAGGGAGGAATTTCATCATGAACTGAAAATAAATGGGGAGAAATTTTTAGTTTCATGACCCACCCAGAAAATGACATGTACTTTAAATAACTAATACAATATTTTCGATGTTATAAATATCAGTGTTAAAGTTTGTTCCTATTTAAAATCTTAAAATACGCTGTAACGCTTCCTCAATCGATGCAGTAAATCTTCATCTATTCAGAGATTTTTCCATTACTTTTTCGCCACTTGAGAAGCGCTGAAAAGTTGAAAAGTTCACAACTTGAAGAAGGCAACTTCAATTCAATTAAATCCTCTCTGCCCGTCTTCAAACCAATCCCCGAGATCATGTGCAGCCGGTCAACAATGGTATATTAATTCAATCAAGAGATCGCTTATTAAACGTTTAAACGTTTTAAGTGACAAACATGATACCATGGAGCGAACGAGCCACAGAGATCACGATCACTCCATTACGCGACGACTGGAGTCGAGAGTGACACAAGAATATTCCATGAATTAAATTCTGCACATTAAAGTGCAAGCGATGCAGAAATTGCATTGCATTCATGAATTTTAAAGACAGTAAACTCGAGCTTTAAAGAGTGTCAGTGGTAGAGAACTTCATATATAGATAAATATTTGTACAGTAGAATATATTTAAGAAAAACTATAAATAATATCATAAAAAATAATAATAATACTTGATCTACTACCAATAATTTCTCTATTATTTTGCTATAGCTTCTATTTACCCAAGTTCGAGTTATAGAAGCTGGACTGTACTTAGTTATGCATGTATGTAGATGTATAGTAAAGTAATCCACCATCCAGACTGTCAGCAACTGAGACTGCAACTGACAGCAGCATCCCCCCGAATCCCTCGGATTCCCGCCT